ACTGCTGTCTTCCAGAGCTGCAACTTATACGCTCGAAAGCCGATGGCTAACCAGAAAAATGCCTTCACGGCGCAAGGACGATCTGATCCGAATCAGAACACCGGAATCTCCATCCACAACTGCACAATTGAAGCTGCACCAGACTTGGCATTGGACCTCAACTCCACTTTAAATTATCTGGGAAGACCTTGGAAGTTTTATTCTAGGACTGTTATCATGCAGTCTTATATTGGCCCTCTCATCAGTTCGGTTGGATGGTTGGAATGGAATGGGACAGTTGGCTTGGACACCCTGTACTATGGTGAGTTTCAGAACCACGGGCCCGGCGCGAATACGAGCAAGAGAGTACAATGGCCTGGTTATAATCTCATGAATGCTTCACAAGCTGTCAATTTTACTGTCCTTAATTTCACTCTTGGTGATACTTGGTTGCCTGACACAGATATACCCTTTTATGGAGGGTTACTCAAATAGAGAACTGAAACTTCCAAGTGATATAAATCTTTGTATTGATTGTATTTATTGCTTAAACTTTAGTTTCCATCAAAGCCAAATAGTTGTATTACAAATTTTCTGTGCAAGAACAATCGGAAAGTATAATAAGGGAGACAAAACAATCATGATCAAAAAAGAGAAGCAGAAAATAAATTGAAAAAAGAAAAACAGAGAAACAAGTTTTCCCATGAAACCATCAAATATATTGGTCAAAGGTTGGATTTATAGGTAACACCCGCATCAGAGATCCACTTGTTTCCTTGCAGAAGTGAGTGCACTGTAAATTTTCCGGCCGCTTTACTGTTGATGGTTCTCAATCCCTTCCATTTAACTCTATTCCTTGTGGAAGAACCGGGCCCGAAATTTTGAAACTCGGAGTAAAATATGGTGTCGGGTGCTGTATTGCCTACCCATGGCAGCCATCCACTTGGATTAATCAAGCTTCCCATGAATGTCTGCATGTACACAGTTGTTGAGTAATTCTTCCAAGGCCTGCCGAGATAAGTTTGGACAGACGACAAGTCGCCGTAAGGCGAAATGGAGCAATTCTGAATTGAAATTCCTGTGTTCTGATTGGGATCAATCTTCCCTTGAGCAGTGATGGTGTTCTGTTGGCCAGCCATGGGTCTCTTAGGCATTATGTTACAGTTTTGGAGCACCACTGCTGAATTCCCAAATATGAAATCAACTGTTCCATAAATGTTGCATTCCCGGTAGAACTGGCGATTGGAATGAGCATAGAGAGTGTCCTGGAATGCATCAATGTGACACCGGTAGAAGACGGATTGGTCAGCGGTCGACATCAAGGCCACTGCCTGGTGCTTAGCTGCTCCTGCAGTGTTACGAAACCCGATGTCCCGAGCAATGAAGCCCTTCCCAAAAACGGCTGCACAAAAAACAAAAAAAAACAAGAAAAAAGAATTGTTCCTGTTAGAATATACTGGTGACATTGCTTAGCACATCGCTAACATGAGTACAAAAATTAAAGAGAGGTTGTCAGTAAATATTGTACAAATAGTTTATGTTAACTTAGAAATTGTTAGCACATGAAAATGTACCAAATGTGGCGCTCGAAAATGTGGGAGTTCCATCGATAACGTTGCGGCCGGCAGATACGATGGTTGCGGTGGATCCATCGCCGACTACCAAGACATTCCACTTGGTTTTCTCAACTCTCACATTCTCAAAATAAACCCCCTTCTTGACGTAGATGACTGTTCTCTTCTTGCTTTTATCAGGGACAGCCTTGAGTGCAGCATGAATTGTTTTGTATTTTCCACTGCCGTCGCTGGCCACCACAATGTCCGCCTTCTTCCTCAAATCCGAACTCTCAAGTAGCTTCCGGTCCCTCGGGTGCAGCCACTCTGGCACACCCTCGCTATAGCTGGCTGTAGCTGTAGTTGCAGGGTGTGTCAATAATCGCCTTAGCTTCACAGAGCTAACGACTTTCGAAATCCAAGAGACTATAGCAAGGCTATTGCTAGTTAACTCAGTAGAATTCTTCAAGTAACTGACAATTTTATTCTTGAGTTCTGCTTTTGCATCATCAAAACCATCGATGCAAGTTTGCTGATAAGTGCCTGAAGAACTCAGCCAAGTTTTAAGATCATCAAACACATCAAACAACGACTTGTCGTCCGATAACGAGTCGTTGAGATGATCCAAAGCCAGGCTCAAAAGCTCTTGACAATTTTCCAAAGCTGCCTTAGACAATGTGTCGTTGGAAGTCCCATTCAAAATCCCATCACCCGAAAAACGACTTGTGGCTTTCGACAACTCGTTGATCGCCACTCGAATCGCCAACTTGAACAGATCCTCAGGCTTCGCATTGGTGGAGTTAACCAGAGCGCCAAGACTACTATAACATGAGTCTTGGTACAAGGTCACATCACAAACAGCCTTCACAGAAGAAGAGAGGCTTGAGCCTTGTTTGCCACCAGAGTTATTCTTATGAATGGTGGTTCCAACCACAGCAGCAACCACCACACACACAAGAACTATGGAGGACAGGCTTATGATGACGACTCTCCTCCACGTCTTCCGACGAGCGTCGAGCCGGGATTGCTCCAACTCATTGACTTTGCCATAGGCTTTGAAGGAAGACATGATGCCAAATTTTTCTTTGTTTTGTTTTTCTATGTGTTTGTGGATTGCATGAGGGATGGTGGGTTGGGCGTGCTTATATATATACTGAGGGTTTGAATAACATAACGCGGCACTACGTGCTTTGCACTACACTATTTTTGTTAACATTTTCAACTGATGGAGTGCTTCACATGTTATTGGAGGTTTTAAATCGTGGGTTCATATATATGGCTGGTAAAGTGTGTTCGCTGCGGTCATTTTCTCTCCCTACAGCACCAAACCAATATTATATAAACAAATAGAATAAATTTAAAATAAAATAAATAGAATAAATTTAAAATAAAATAAATAGAATAAATTTAAAATAAAACAAAATAAAATAAAAATTAATCGGCTAGCTGGTCATGAATTTCGGCATTTGAGTACTTGTGCCCATTCCAACACATATTAGATGGGTTCAGAAAAAAACTATTTACAATTTTCTTGCAAAACTCTGGAAACTTTAAATAGGTTTTCAGCAATAAGTCCATTTTAATTAGCATGATATATTATACAATTACTCATATATAGCTTATTTGGAGGTAAAAATCTAAAATTAGTCACTTGTTATTTTCTAATTAGTTTTAATTTCTAAAATAAATTAGAAAATGACAAGTGATCACTAGTTTTGGGTTTTCCCCTCCAAATAGGATCTATATGGATAATTATATAATATGTCATGCTAAAATGAGCCTATTAATAAAATGCCCAAACTTAAACTACCACCTAAAATTAAATTTTTTTTGGTTATTTCTTCAACAGAGATTAAATAAATACTAGCGACCATATTGCTCAATATTCCAATGTTTCTAATGTTTATCCTTTTTGTAATTTATATCCTGAAATTATATATCATCTTTTACTCATTGTACTTATAGTAATACTATTTAGACACACAAGATTGACCACATTATAACTGACTACCTTATGTGGCCGTTGATGTGGTCATCTCATGTCAATTAATGAATATTGACATGTGAATTCTATTTTATTTATATTACTTTTAATAATCATTAAAAAAAAACAAAAATGAAATAGAAAAGAAAAAACAAAATCCTAGAATCCTTGTCTGTTGTCTCACGCTGTATCTACTCTACATCTCCAGCACTCCCTTCCTCCCTCAAACCCACCCATCCCCATCCTCCTTTGTTGTTGCTGAGATTTGGAGTTTTCTCAATAAAAATCTTCTACCACTTTATTTATTTATTTTTATTTAAACCTAGAAGCACGTACGCGAAAAACATTTGTAAAAAGAAAAATGAAAATCAACAAATTGATTATCGAAGTTGTTGTTTTGATTGCTCTATCAGTCTGTCCAAACACTCTTTCCAATCCGAAACCTTCAAGTCTTCATTGACTACCTAGTCTCACACAATTTCTTGAAGATTCGTCACTTTTATCAAGAAGGGAAAAAAGACATATAAAAATAAATCAATAACAAGGGATTACAAATTTACAATATTACATCTTCTCCACTGCAATGTCTCCATTTTGTTGAGTTCTTGCCAAATAAATATGAACTAGTTGTATATTGTGGAAAACAAATTGGTGTTCCATATGTGGAATTTTAATCAAGTTTTATTCCCTTTTTTTTTATTTAGTTTTTTAGTTTTTTATATATTTTTTTTATTTTTGTGTTTTGGAATTTTTAGTGTAGTTTATTCTTTTCATAGTGCAATAACAATGGAGGATGCAGATGGGTTGATGGAGGAAGGTAGTGCTAGAGATGAAGAGCAGAGAAAGCGTGAGATTACAAGACGCTAGGGTTTTATTTATTTATTTTCTATTTCACTTTTAGTTTTTGTTTTTAATGATAATTGAAAAGAGAAATTAATAAATAAAAATAGAATCCACATGGAAAAATTCATTAATTGATATGGCATGATCACATCAACTGCCACATAAAGAGCTCGTTTGGTACCTCGGACTGTACTGACTAATTTCCGTCAGATAGTATTAATCTGTTCGAGAGAGTACTGACTATTTATCCATAATATTATAAGGCGTTTGGTGTTGTTTCGGATAAATAGTCTGACTAAGTTATACTGTGTTTGGTGATGTTCCGGATAACATCAAATCAGACTATTTTAAAAATAAAAAAAAATTCTTTGATAATTTTAATGGAAATTGAGATTCAAATGACACAAATTTTTTTGGGTAAGATTCATATGACAAGATTTGTTTTTCAATTGTGTTTGCCAATATATTTTTTTTTCATATAACCCATTATCATAATTGTAGTATCTCATAAAAATTCCAACATACTCGCATATGTTAATAAAAACAGTACCAAATAATGTATAATTCAAAGTGATCACATACTAAGGTGATAAGAGCAAAAGGGAAAGTTGTTCATAAACCAAACTACATCAGAGAGTAAATCACAGCTCCCTCACCCCAAGTAAGAGAAGAACAAATGTTTTTCTCATAGTACCATCCAATGTCAGGTATGTTCTCTCATCACTTGCTTTCTCCAAAATTAGCCGTAGTGCCTTAATTTGGTCATTAATAGACATGTCCATCTTTGCCAATTCAGTAGCAATATCAGGTCTTGGTTCTGATCCTTTCACCAAACTATTAGTTATAGTTTTCAATTGGTCAACAAACTCAGAAATCATCTCACCAAATGCTTTAGTCATTTCCTTTTGAATACCAATATCTGCATTTCGTTTGCGATGTCGACTGCTTGAGCTAGCTGAGTTTTGTTGATTTGATCTTGGCAAAGAGGCAGAATGATCTGGTTCAACCTCAACTTCCTCATCATCATCATTGACATCAATGTGATGCATAGGCTCATTCATCATTTCAATGGGAGTTGCAGACCATCTACCAGTTGCTCGATCCTTCCCAAATATATTCTTCAACCTGTCATATATTAGACATTGTTTCCCCTCCAACCATCAGCATCCTTGTTATGCTGCATCAATAAAATGGAAAAATTATAAATAAAAATATAAGAATTACATATTACTTAACAAGTGTACTAACCTGCACATAAGTGTTCCATGCTTCATCGCTGTCAACCTCAATGCATTTCAAAGAATCATTCCAAGCAAAGCCACTTTTGTTAATCATGTCAAATATTATCCCATACATTTTTTTACAAAATCTCTTCTTGGACTCAATATGTGGGACTACCCTTAAATCAGTATTGGGAAATTTCTCAGCCAAATGATTTTTCAATTTGGATCATTGTTCAAGATTTAAAGGAACCATTATCACATCGTAAACCTCGGTTGACTACATCCTCAAGTATGGTCAACAATGCTTCTTCCTCATGTGCTTTCCACACCCTTCTACTTCCTTTTGATTGACTAGACTATCCACTCTCCATTCCTATAGCCAATATAGACAATATAATTTGCATACATATAATTAAGAAAAAAAGTTGGAAGATCAGATAAAATAAATACTAATCATCCAAAACAAATAGTCTATTACAAGAAAATATAAATAAATTATATGAACTACAACTTAATGTATGTTCCTATTCCACTCATCATACATTTGCATAGCCAAATTATCCCTCCATGCAGTCCATTGATCTAAAGGTTCAATAGTGCCAAGTACATCACCATCTTGGTTAGTTTCCCCATTTTCAGTACCATTCAATTCATTCTCCAATGGATCAACAGCCATCTCGCCACAAATAAGATTAAGTAATAGGCAACAAGCTGTAATGATTTTACATTGTGTCTCAATTGGGGAAAAATGTTAGACTTCACAAGATACCCCAACGCATCTTAAGAAGTCCAAAACACCTTTCAATCATATTTCTTGCAGCAGCATGCTTCATATTGAAATACTCTTCATGATTATTAGGTGCCATTCTATTCCTCCATTAAGATAAATGATATCTTATACCCCTATAAGGAGCCAGATATCCTTGACCATTTGTGTACCCATCATCCACAAGATAATAACATCCTAACAATTAAACAAATATTATGTACCTTCCCAAAAAGATAATCAAGCTTAATATTACCATAATGAAACACAAAAATCTAATATTACCTGTAGGAACTCTTAATCTTGTTGGTCTACTAATTGCATCTCGTAATACCCTAGAATCTGACGCAAATCCTTCCTAACTAGGGAAAACAAATATAAATTTCATGTTAGGAGTACAAACCCCTAATACATTGGTTGCAACCTCCCCCTTTCGTGTTCGATATCTTGGTTTATCTTGTTCAGGGACACAAACCCTAATGTAAGTCCTATCCAACGCCCCCAAGCATTTCTACGCAATTAAAAAAAAAGGTACCTTAGAAACTTAAAATATAAATATAATAATAAAATTGGCCAATCTTAATTTAATTTTACAATACCTTAAACCATCTCCATCTATTATCGGTGCAATTATCAGGTATGGGTTCCGGCACCTTCAAAAGTCTACCTTGTAATCTTATCACTCCATCCAAGATTGAATTGAAGTACCTACTAATAGTCTTCCCCGATTGCTTAAATCTACTACTCATTGTACAATTCTTCACATGATGTGCGAGTGTATGTAAAAACATACACACTTGCTCTTCTATGGTTACTGAACCATTTGTTCTCACTCTCCCATCGTCATGGATCAATTGACATAAATAATGGAAAGTTCTCCTATCCATCCTAATTTGGTTCACACATTGTATGTCATCATTTCCTATAATGCTATCTAAATAATTTGACCGAGTTGCAATCCTGAAAAACCTTTGACTCCTAATGGCATTCCGTTGTTGGCGTCATGTTCCAAATTGTAGTTTGTCATGAACCACATCATGCACCAAACCATGATATGCAAGAACCATAATCTAATAATAAAGTATGCCACAATCTTTCTTTCATCCATATCTAAGCATAATATAAAGGAAATTTTTTCAGTAAAAGTAATATAAATAACCATGCATTAATTTTAGCAATATAAATAATCATGCATTACACAAGGCTACATGTAAATTTAGAATAATACAACAATAAGTAGAATTCTACACATGACAAAAGACTACAAAATACCATCCTGCTTGCATATACAGAAATATATGTGGTTTAACTATTAGAATTGTACTATGAATATTGATCTGCATATGTCTATACTAGACATCAAAGTTTCCATGTACAACAAGAAGGAGAAAGTAGCAGCAGAACAGAAGCACTGCAATCAAAAGAGCCAAGGCCACAAGCTTGGGAATCGTAAAAAAATGGATATCAATAATGCAATGTTGGTTTTTATAAAGAGAGCCTCCTCTTACTTTATTTTTTGGTCGAAATCGTATCTCATTAAAGAAACTCAGAAAAAATAGATTTACAAAGCAAGTCACAAAAGCCGGGTAGAGGCACCTAGACCTCAAAACCAAGGCTGGAACCAAGCTTTTCACCCAAACCAGTTCAAAACTAAACAAAAACAAAATACAAAGATAACATAAAATAAGGAATTTAGAAATGCAGCACCACCCATAACCAATCAGCAATGTCCCAAATGAAAGACCAAACTCACTATAGACGAAACCGTAACCAAAGGTACCAAAGGAAAATGGTGATGACTAAATTGTTGTTGCTGCTACTGTTGTGAAGTTTGTGTATTCATTTAAATGGTTTAATTTGCTTCTGTAATAGGATTGTGCAATTCATTCATTAAGCCCATGTCCAATGTTTCTCATTTGTAAAATATGTCCTTTTACAATTTAGGTTTCATTCATGTAAGTAAGCATAACCTAAATTCAAAAACAAAAAATACATAACTTAATTTCCACAAAAATTTAATAAAAAAATTGAAATATATAAAGAATAGAGAAGAAGCATATTGGAAAGAGTATGAAAGAGAGAGAGAGAGTGAGAGATGGATACCTGGAGAAGAGTGAAGAAAATAACCTGTGGAGAAGATAGCAGAGAAGAACCCTAGGGAGAAGAAGATGAAAAGAGCGTTTGATTTTTATCGTAGAACACGTGCTTAGCCGTATAATTAAGCATGTATTATCCAAACCGGGATGTGTCGGTTGTATTAGTTAGTCAAGTAAGGAGAGTATTAAAAGCTTAACCCGTATTAAATAGTCGGGTAATTAAATAATACAAGTTGACACCAAACACCTGATATAGACTATTTACTTATATGCAGAGTATAATACGGTGTACCAAACGAGCCCAAAGCGGTGGCTAATGTGGTCAATTTTGTGTGTCTAAATAGCATTACTTCTATACTTATTCTAAACGGGGGTCGCTCTCATTCAAGCGAGGAGAGCCAAAACTATTGAGGGTTAAGGTTAGGGTTTTCTCTAGTTTTCTTGATCCATTTTATGCTCTGTCTCTCTTAGTCCTCTATGATTGTCCATCCGGGTTCTTCTTGGTGTATTGGGTCTTGTGGTTTTCACTTGTTTGTTCTCTATGGGGAGGGCTATGTCAGCTCTTCGTGTTCCTCGTCTAGTTTACTCACTCACGGGCTCTTGGTTTGGTTGCTCTCAATCCCAAGGTCTATGATTTGGATTCGAGACCCTCCTTCCCCAGGTCTTCCTCTGATGTGGCTTGTGTGCTTTTGTTCTCAACATACAAAGTTGGGCTTTGGTTTTTGTGACTTTTTTTCTATGGGGATGTTTGATCTAGATGAGGAAGTGGCTCTCGATGATATTGACCTCTCGTTTGGGAGTGTCTGGTGCTTACAAATCAAGACGAAGCTAGAGTGGTGACTGCTAGTTCGGCGGCCTCGATTTATATCTTGATTTGTGGTGGGAAATAGAAGTGTGTAGGAATTGACGATGGAGGTGAGCATATGATCGATAGTGGCATCGATTTTAATGGTCAGCGATGATTGGGTACGCCCTTCCAAGTCCATCCTTATTGCCCTCACATTGAGTCATAAGCCCACGTTACTTGGCTCGGCAATTTAACTTCCAACATTCGTGTATATAAAGTGTGTGACAAAAGCATCTCTCACCGATGTGGGACTGATACAATCAGCTGTCAAGAGAAGCCCTATTTCTTTTTTGATAAAGATTAATGGGAAGAAATCAAATTGTTTCAACCATGGTGATTTCAGATTGTCAAAACTAAACCTCAAACCGACATGATTATGTTCTCTCCTTCTAGTAATTTCAATATTGTACCTTCTTTAATTGACAATCATTCATCTTTACTATTTGGAGAATAACTTGCTTCTCAAAACTTGTTACTATAAGAGTATGGATTGTGTATTAAATAATTTAACAATAAACTTTAAATAGTTCAATCTAAGTTGACCATATTTCAAGTTTTTTACTTTCGTGACTCAATCCAAAATGTAAAGTAGTGAATTTTCTAGACATACATTTCGATTCTTATATGATTATAGTTTCTTTGTTTTTTGATCATTGGGTGGGGGGGCTTTGAACATGAGACATCGTCCAACATTTGGAAGAGAAGTATAACTTGTCCATTTCAAAACTCAAACAAACTTGATAAATGATGAACTTGTACTAATGTTCATGTTTATTCAAGCACTTTGTATTCATTAACCATTGTAAAAATGTAAATGAAGCACTTTGGTTTTGTTTTTTTGTTTTTGGGTAAATAGGTTAAACTACACAAAATTTTTAAGTCCATTCTGTGCTACCCCAATTGAGTCTTGCAACCCATCATTTGAATGTGCCTTCTAACTTCACCACACAGAGATGGATAATGGATGAAATGATGGCATCATGGAGAGAAACATATGCTAGTAATTTCTTCCTCTCAAAGTATAAAAACCCTAATGTGCTTGGAGGCTACGTGATGTTTATATAGCACATAAGAAAACCCTTGGTTCCCTCTTCCTCTTTGTGTGGTCGGCCTTGTAGTTTCATTGGAACTTTAGGCCTCGTGGTCAAGGTGTCATGTATAACTTTTGTTACAAGCCCAATATGTCCAAGCCCAATAGACCATGAACCTCAAATAAAATTTTAAGTCCAATGCAATTCCCTCATCCAATTATTTAATTAATCTCCATTAACTTAATTAATTTATGCTAATCATCTTTAACTTCCACATTATGTATGTGATCCATTAGGTTCTAACCGGTGAAACCATGGGTGATTTGAATTCATTCTTTATCGATCGTAAATTAAAACTCCCTTTTAGTTCTACCTTTTGTGAGAATGGTGTTGTGGTTAATCCTTAAGGCTTCCATAAGTCTGAGTGATGTGTAGCAAATATCATGACTACCCAAGCCAATATAGAAAAGGTGGAGAACCTCTTTAGTTGGAAGACATGTCAAGCTCTTGATATGAATCACAAGCTTATATAATTCATACAAGTATGATTAGAATCAACATTCTTATTCATACCCATTGCTTTGGCCAAAGACTTCTAAATCATATCTTTAGTGCATTCTGCCTATATATTGAAGGTAGGGATTCCTTGTCATACACTCACATGCCTTCATGGATTAATCGATGATCACAACCATGCCTTGATCCATGTCCATAAGAACACAACTATATTGCATGATTTGAGATCAACAACGCTTTCATAATGTTAGGACCAATTTTTGGTATATTGGCAATTTCCTGTTACAAAAACGTAGAGCAGGTCTTTGAGTGTAACCTACAATTTTCAAGTGACGTTCTGCTATCCTGGATCAGTGTGGCTCAGAGACAATTCCAAGGTATGTTTTGCATCCATGCATTCATATTTGCATATTTGTAAGATCATCAAAAGTGGTTGTTAGATGTACAGGAATGATATATGATTTCAGTCTTACATAATCCAGTGCCAGACATCAATGAGTTTTTAACAATGGTTTTATATTCTTTAGTTTGGTGCTTATTTAAGCAAAATGGTTCTTTTGTCTTTATAGCTGGGTTTTTAATTAAGTGGCTTTATTTGTTTTACAGAAATAATTTATTTGTTAAAAAGCCCATTTTTGCTAAAAGCCTTTTTTTGTCCCTGGCCTAGTTTTAAGCGTGTAATACAAGAAAGGAACTTAGCCGTTTTGTTTCTCTCTGCAACGTTGAATAGAAAAAGAACAACAAAATATTTGTAGATAGGTTTTTTGAGAGTTTATATTGAAAACTCATGTGGCTGTTCCTTGTGAGCCTCCATGAGTGATTAAATAATCATCTTTTCATATATGTGTGAGTTCATGAGCATTATGCATGTTGGTGATCAGCAATCGTGCCTTGAGGTGTGAGTAGCCGAGACCAGAGTTGTGCCATCTCTTGTTGACAAAGGAAGACAAATCGCTGGTTGGGTTGAGTAGCAAAGGTGAGTAGGCAGGTCTGCCTTGTGAGCGTTAGTCTTGTGAGTTGAGACTTGTAAGACCTTTTTGTATTCTTTCTCATAGTGATTTGTTCTCTGGAATAGTGCCCGTAGTTGTTTTCCTCATCTTGAGGTTTTTTATTGCGTCAACATATCGTGTGTCCCTTGTGCAATTGTTTGCGTTTTTATTTGAATTTATTCTGCTGCGTATTCTGGAATTTTTGCTTATAGGATTGTTACAGTATTTCAATCTTGCTATAGTGTTTGAGTATTAAGAAACAGATCAGTTGGCCATTCTAGGGAATTTCACATAAGATAACAGTGGAGCCTCAAGTCTAAGGACTAATTTATATTATAGCAACTTAGAGATCTTGTTTGACATGTAACTTAAACTTTCCATACAATCCTTTTTTTATTATCACGTTCAATGAATTCACTCTTTAGTGAATACCCATGCATTTATCTTAATGTCACCCACACGGATGACTTGAGATCAGTCATCCTCCGAATTGAACATATACAATGTATACTAGTCTTTATGGATATGTTAATGCTCAGTTGACAATCTTATGACCAGAAACTCTTTAGGGTGTGAGCTATATGAAAAGGTTTCATGGATCTAACTTCTTTAGATCACTTATCTCATCTCACGAATGAGTTAAGTAAACTACATTTAATGAGACCATTATTCAAACAACATTTTTCGTATTTCAATTATTAATAAAAGAAAGCCACGATGTGTAATTGATATTCGATGAATGCATTGGATTTGGACTTCTTCAAACGATCACGGCCAAGGAATGAACACCTCTTGACCTCGGGTACTCCTACGTACCTTGAAGACTAGGCTTTGCAATCAACCAAGTTATTGTGTTCGGTAACGCTAACATATTTAATGCATTGTGATGTACATAAATAACGAATTTAGTTTTCTCATGTGTGGAATTAACCAACATTAGAAAATGACTAGCCAACAAGACTATATGGTAAAGTTGCTCTATTATGGTTAAGTTTTATTAGTTAAAGAAATCTATCTATTTTACAATTTGATTTGGCATCATTCTACCAAAAAAAGGCTCTTTTGTTTTTTTTGTTTTGTTTTTTTTTGACAATGTGGCATTATAAATTACTATAATCTACGAGGAGAAGAACTCGAACTTCAGTGCAATGGTGTCGGCACCAGGGACTGACCCATGATTTCAAAATAGGGTGAAATAAATTTACCTGACGTACAAACCTACTAAGAAGATAGAAAACTCGATGATACGAATGAATTTAATTGATAACAAGAAAATTCCAAAGAATCTTTGATCTCTTAGGTTTTTTATGTTGATCCGACATTATAAAAGTATAACCTATTGAATAATATATACAAGACAACATGTCAGCAACTAATTAATTCATTAAATCTCACTGATCAATAATTCATTATTCATACAAGCAAGAACATCAAAATTATTATTGTAGTTTTCTCTATTTCATGATAATAAAAGCCTTTGACTGGTTTTCTCACATGAACTCTATGACAAAATGAAATGGAAGTAATTCTTTTAGCTATAGTATGAAGAAAAGGAAAGCTAGTGATATGAATGGTTTTCCAAAAAAAAATCTAAAAATAGCACGTGTTTATCAACTCAGAATTGATGTAGAACATAATTAGTCCAAGGTAGAGTTTCCAATGTTTTCAAAAAGGAAAAAAATAGTTTCCAATATCAGCTAACATTAATTTCACACTATGTTCACACTGTTTTATCATTTGCAAAGATTCGCAAGTCAACCTTCTAGCTAGTAGAGGTGGGCTACATGTAATTTTTATTTTTAAGACAAGAAAAGTCACCTGGACTATAGCCCAGGTTAGTACCTTTTTAGGAACATCCCTGGTCGGCACACTACTTTGGCCAACTAGCCTAATCCAAATTTGCAAGAGAGACTTCTATTCATGTGCTCGTTTGATAAAATTTCTTCAAATTCCACCCATCTTTCCTATGTTATTTCCCCTAATTTTTCTTAATAATTAAAAAAAAAAGTTTAATTTCTCTAATGCACCTTGAAAGAATGGTTAACTCTGACATTGCCCTTGAAACTCAAAGTGACTCACCTTGATCCTTAACCAATATTTTGTGTCTCACTTTGCCCTTTACTGTTAAGCCCGTTAGGTTAAAAATGCTAAGCCAAGTTTAGGAGAAGAAAAGCTGGAGCATGCCTTCATTAGTGAGTACGAGTCCGCACACCTATCATATTTGGGTTTTGGCACTCCTCTTTGTCTACGATGAAGATGAAGTTGGTCGGTGGATACATGTAGGTGGTTGTTGGAGGTGGGGGTGGCTGTGAGTGGAAGAAGTTCAGGAGAGGTGGCTGTGTCTTGCTTGGGAGTGATGGTGGTGACTATTGGGTTTTTGACGAAGGAGGGGCGATCTTTGGGTGGGAATTGGCTGATTGATTTTTATTTTTTTTGGTTAAACAATAAAACATTTAAAAACTTATTTTTATTATTTATTGTTTATCTTAAATCATTATTATTTTACATAAAATATTTTACTATGTTTTTGCACAGATAGCACTTATGTGGTATATATTTTAGTAAAATAGTGGGTCTCGCTCGTTCCATGTTAGCATTTTTAACGGAGTTATTAAAGGATTTAACAGTAAGGGGTAAAGTGAGACACCAAACATCGGTTAAGGGATCAAAGTGGGTCAAATTGAGATTCACATGGCAATGTGAGATTTGACCATACTTTAAAATGGAACTAGAGCAATTAAACCTTAAAAAAATGAACACAAAAACAAATATCATACGTTGACAACTTTGATGAAATAATGATTTTATAAAAATAAAAAAATCAATAATAGCTAACATAAATATAGAATCTCAGTTGTTAATCATATATAGACCATTGGATGTAATTTTGTTTACAAAATAAAAGCAAATAAGTATGCATACCAATTATATTAGAATGCATATTAGATTGAAATATACCGTTGCACATATGTGATTACATTTTTCTCTTTTCTAGGCAACAAACAAATTTCATATCAAAATTAACTATTACGTAACAATTTCCGAAATGCGCGAATGTACATAAAAGAAAATTTTAATATACATAGTTAATTTCTTTCCTTTTTACAAATATATATATATGTGTATGATGCGAGTTTGAGATTCATAAATATTAAAAATAAGTAAATAATAAGAAGACTACTAAAAACGTTTATGCGCTGTGTTCCTCAATATCGCTTGTATAAGAAAAAAGTATTGAAAACACCCATAAAATAAGTAAAACTTAAATTTTATTCAATTCAATGAGATGAATTGACCATGGAATAATCTTGTGACCACATGATGGGATGTAACGTGGTTGTTTGGTGAAGCACCAATGACTTCAGTGTGAGGAAGTGCACAGAAGAGAATCCCGACCACAATTAAAAAGCTTTTCATATGCGAAGGGAAAACCAAAAGGTTGCCTCCCACGTCTTAACCGCGGTTAAAACGTAACCTGACTCTAGTTAAATAAAAAGTCACCTTTGCTCCTTCCTATCTTCTGTCCCTTCCCTGCAGTCGCCACTCTTATCTTTTCTCTCATTTTCTCATTTTCTTCCTCCATTAAGAAAGGGAAAGAAAATCCACTAAATTCTCTCTCTTCTGACTCTCTCTGAGCAATCAGAGGGTGCTTGAGGAGCTTCAATGCTCTCCTATTCACACATGATATCCATGAATCAGGTACCTCTCATCTTTCTGCTTTTTTATTTGAAGTACTTGTTTCATTTCTCTGTCTTCTGGTCTACAGAATTGATTATAAATATATATTTTTGTTCTCAATCTTGTGATTTTTCATGGGTTTTGATGGTTGATCTTTGTGCTGATGCTATATCTGATATGCTCCACTATCTGGTTCTTTTCTTAGTAATAGTTTTTCTCTGGGTTTTGTTTGGTTTGCCTTGTTGTTTTGTAGTTCGTTTAGGTTCAGGTCCTGGTTTGCGTTTTTACCATTTTTTTTTCTTTCTATCTTATCTTTTTAATTTTTGTGTTATTTCTTTTAATTTTTTGTTTGTGAATTTTGGATTGGATATGTTTGGATCTGGATGGGACGGACAGCTTTGAACAACCTTCTGATCCAAAAGAGGGCTACCCTGAATTTCTGAATTTATATTAAATAATGGAAGAAAATAATAATTGAATTATGTTGCTTAGATTGGTGAAATATATGCTGTAAACCTGCGTTTTAAGCTATAACAGTTTGTGTAAACCAAAAGAAAAAAAAATCAATAATATGGGGTTTTTGAAGAAAATGAATCCGTTGATGGTGGATCTGGGGGAAGTTTTCTATGTTCTTTCTGCTTTAGTGGTTGTTTGCAGTTGCAGGGTATGTAGATGTAACTTAAATTTAGTTTTTATTGTAATGATCTCATGTTTTTCGCATCACTGATGAATATTTTTTCGTTTTTGTTTTCTGTTCTTTTTTCTCGGTTATTCGAGAACCTTATCTTTTGTTTTGGTTCGTAACTTATTTTGTTGCTTTTAGTGATGAGGCCCATGTTCTAGGGTTTTCTTTGGGTTCTTTTAGTGTAAGAACACGAAGATCTGTTGCGTCACTTCCCTTGTTTTTCCTTTCATTCAATTAGAGTTAATATTGCGAGTTCAATTTACCTGATCTATGATACGCGACACTTTGGGATTGAACTGACTTATTTGTAATTTATTCATTTGCAGAAGTTTGGGTTGAGTATCCTTTATTGAGAAACCTTGGCTCATAAGAAGTTTAAAGCTAATATCTGTGCGCAAGATCGGAAATCTTTTCCAGAAAGGCGGTGAAGTTGACTTGGACTGCATTTAATTGCTCAATTTTATATTAGTATATATAATCAGGGCTGTTCTCTTTGTCGGTGCTAAATGGGGATCTTTGAAGAAATGGGTTTCTGTGGTAATCTTGATTTCCTTTCGGCGGCTCCTGGGGAAGGGGAGGCAGCTCCAGAGCATGACCCAGAGGCAACAGTAGAGGAGGATAATAGTGATGAAGAAATGGATGTTGATGAGCTTGAGAGGAGGATGTGGAGAGATCGGATGCTATTAAAGCGACTTAAAGAACAAAGTAAGGGAAAGGAAGGAGTTGACAATGCAAGGCAGCGTCAATCACAGGAACAAGCTCGGAGGAAGAAGATGTCGCGGGCACAAGATGGAATCCTGAAATATATGCTGAAAATGATGGAAGTTTGCAAAGCTCAGGGTTTTGTTTATGGGATTATCCCTGAAAAAGGAAAACCAGTGAGTGGTGCATCTGACAATCTTCGAGAGTGGTGGAAGGAAAAAGTAAGGTTTGATCGTAATGGCCCGGCTGCAATTTCCAAGTATCAGGCAGATCATTCAATTCCTGGGAAAAATGAAGACTGCAGTGCTGTGGCATCCACTCCTCACACCTTGCAGGAGCTCCAAGACACAACTCTTGGTTCCCTTTTATCGGCTTTGATGCAGCACTGTGATCCACCCCAAAGACGTTTTCCATTGGAGAAGGGTGTTGCCCCACCTTGGTGGCCTACTGGTAATGAGGAATGGTGGCCTCAATTAAATTTACCAAAGGATCAGGGTCCTCCCCCATACAAGAAGCCTCATGATTTGAAGAAGGCTTGGAAGGTGAGTGTTCTCACAGCTGTGATAAAGCACATGTCACCTGATATTTCCAAGATCCGCAAGCTTGTTCGTCAGTCTAAATGTTTGCAGGACAAAATGACTGCTAAGGAGAGTGCTACTTGGCTAGCCATTATAAACCAGGAGGAAGCTTTGGCCCGGAGGTTGTATCCTGATAGATGCCCCCCTCCATCAGCTGTTGGGAGTGGGTCTTTTACAATCAGCGGTACCAGTGATTATGATGTTGAAGGGGTGGATGATGAACAAAATGTTGAAGTAGAGGATTGCAAACCTCTTGTTAATCACTTCAATATTGGAACAGCTGGGCAAAGAGATAGGATGGTACCTCAGATTAAGGGAGAGCTGATTGAGACCAACTCAGACTTTGGTCAGAAGAGGAAGCAGCTGGCCGAAGAGCCACAGATGATGCTAAATCAGAAGATTTACACCTGTGAATACCCCCAATGCCCATATCATGATTGCCGCCTAGGCTTTCTCGACATAACTGCAAGAAACAATCACCAGTTGAATTGTGCATACCGGGGTAATTCTTCACAAGTGTTTGGAATGTCAGGCTTTCATCTTAACAACGACAAACCTGTGGGCTTCTCTCTACCCATTACTCAACCTAAGCCAGCTATTCAACAACCAGTGAACCAGACAAGTAGTTTTAATGCTTCGGGACTTGAACTAGCTGAGGATGGGCAGAAAATGATATCTCAACTGATGTCATTCTATGATAGTAATGTTCAGCAGAACAAGAACTCAAATCCTGGAAACCTCAATGTTGTCGAAGACCACAACCAGCAGCAGGTGAAATTTCAATTTCCAATGGAGGATAACTTCTATGGTCAAGGGCTGGTTATAGGACGCAACATGTCTGAGCAGACCTCCTTGCCTATGCTTCATCCAGTTTTCCCACCCACAGAAATTCAGTTTGATCCGTGCAAGTTATTTGATTCTCCATATGGTAACCATCCCAATGATCCTGTCAACTTAGGTTTTGGCACTCACCTTAACTCAGTCGACTATAATGATGACTCAGTGTTGAAGCAAGATGCATTTTGGATCTGATGAATTTGGGTTTTCATATATTGACTGCTCCAATATCTGAATAAGGCTGTATATTATGTTGTTTGGCGGGGGGTTGGGGGTGAATGAGGATATCCCCATACAGTTCTGGACCGAACAGGTGAAGCTTCTTTTTTTAAGTTTAGCTGCTTATTGTATCTGTCGGATCTTTTAGAAGAAGTTGGGGGTTCTCTTGCGGCGACTTCATCATCCAAGTATAGGTTGTCTAGTTGTTCTCAGTGCAGTATTTAGTAGGGCCAATAAAGGACTGGAAAGAAGCCAATCTAATACAAGTACTTTTGTTGAAATGTTAGAAACATTTTCTGGTTGCTAGAGTCATTGTTGGCATGTAGTTATGTAATGTATACAGAGACATCTATATATGTGGTGGTTTCATGTATCTTAGAAACATTTTGCTTGTTTCTCAACTGGTTTTCAGTTTGTGCTATCAACAATTCATTCTTGCTTTCGCAGTTTATCGGGGGAAAGTTCGAATAGAAATATCAGCACTCAAAACTTGCATAAGCAATGCCCTGTTAGGTCTGATAAAACTTCCAACTACTGATTTTTCGCAAATTATGTGATATAAATTAGATAGGAACTCCCCCCCGTCCGGATGCGCGGCTGAGCTGAAACTGAACCTTGATGCTTTCAAATTAACTTGGCCCCTCAATGTCAAGTGTGCTTTTTTGTTTGGTGAATAAATGCCACGTTTTTTTAGTTTTCTGTGGAGGTTTGTTTATTTTGTCACATCTATCAGAATGGTCTTACATGTGAGGAATGGGTAGAAAGTCAGAGAGACAGAAAACGGGTCAAAGTTGGGCAATTATTTTTGTTTTGGTCGATGTTAGGCAAGTTCATTGAAAGTAGTCATTCTTCACCTAGTAGTGGCAATAGTGATAATTGGAGAGCAGTTGCCATTTTTGACTCTAGTCTCCCTACTTTCGATTCTTTTTGAAAGTCTATGTCAAGTCGTGTAAGCAAAGGAGAAATGTTCGTACCTTTAATCGATTGAAAGGATTGGATTTATAATGAGGAAAACTAATGAGTCCAGAGCTCGTGCGCGCATAAGTGATTGTCAAGCAGTTATTGGATGTGAATCCTCTAGTGATGTAAACTATTCTATCCCGGCATCACTACCTTTCTTCTTATTTCTCTCTTTATGTTACTAATTCATGGAAAAAGAGATACAGAAATCATAATTCATGGAAAAAGAGGTATACATAAATCATAATTCATGGAAAAAGAGAGATACAGAAAGGGCACATGACACCGAAATAGGATAGTGTGTTTCCACAATGAGACCCACATCCATCTACCCTACCAAAACTCTAACAATGAAAATCAACATCAGCCTGGATAAGATAGGTTTTGATGGGAGGGCCCAACACCCTTGTGAGATAGGTTTTGGTCCCATAAAACTTCTCTAAAAATATTTTTAGAACTTTCAACCGTATCAAGCTTTCCAATTTGTTATAGATTTTGTGTATGCTTTTACATTCTTAAATCTTTGGGTTTTAAATTGTCTTTTTTAAAAACGTTTTATACACGTAAAAACATTTGAATTTTAATTTTCAAATACATATTTTAGAAAAGTCCTATGTACCAAATTGTATTTTGAAAAATACATCGGCAAATAGGGTCTAGTCCGTGAAAAAGGGTATTGACTTGCAGACTAGTGATCTCACATTCGAACTCCCATAGCACCTTAGTAGTGTGTATGAGAAAGAAAAAAATCGAGGTCCCCTGCAGTTGTAAATTGTGGTCTTGCTTGCATTTCATAAAAAAAAAAACAAAAACAAAAACAAAAATTGTAAACTTATCGATAGCGTATTTGAAACGCTCTCTCCTCTTGTTTGGATTATCGCTTGGACTAAAAAATAGCGTATTAGAACATTAAAACGCATCTAGTTATCAAGTTTTCAAACTTTAATGGCTATCCACTATATACTCAATGCGGGGCCACCGTGGTCAGTGCAATGATGAAGGACGACGGACGGTGTCGTGCAAAGGTTTATTTGGTTGTGAGATACGGTAATGGTGTTGATCAATCTAGGGATTTTGGTTAATCAGATAATTTTTTTAAAAAAAAATTAATCACTCTTTAATTCATGTGGGAGATATAATGGATTTAAAGTTGATGATGTGGCGTATGTCACTTCATCCGAGATTCAAATTTGGTAACTTTAGCATTATTGATTGCATAAAGTCTGTTTTAGTTAGACTTCTTGCAAACATCCTAGATCATTGTGGAATTGTTAGAAGTCATGATTGAACACACGTATAATTGTATGAATTTTATAGACTTTATAAAAGTTCATTGAAGTCTAGATTTATGCACCAAAACTTTTATATTTTTCTTTAAAATTAATTTTAATTAAATATCTCGACTAAAAGGAAATGACTCCCTGTGATTGCAAGAGATGCGAAATTATACAATAGCACTAGCTGGCATTGATGATTGGTACCGTCCAACGAAATTCAGTCATGTGCACAATTTATACACATCAACGTAACTTTAAAGTTGTGTCGTTAGCACCACCAGCGTTGCATATCGAACAGAACCCACAAAAAAAGGTCACAGGTAGGTATCCAATCTATGACGGGGATACCTGACCAAAAGCCGAAAGGCCTCACGGCGGTGGCTTTAGACCATGATCGCTTCAACACTCCACTCAAAGATTGACAAATTTGTGGGCAGGGGCAGAGCCACCTGCAGGTCAACAGTGGCCATCGTCCCCAATATTTTATAAGTGAATGGGCACCCAATAAATTAATTTTGGATAATAATGTGAAGTCATTGGCCTCTCTTTATTTGTCTTTTGTTTTGGGCTTTAATAGATATTTTGGTTTCTTTAAGATAAAAATAAGAAAAGATGGCTATAGTTGGATAGATTTAGTTGAAAAATCTTAGGACTAGATAACTAGCCAAATAGGTTGAAAATATTTGATAAAAAAATAATTGAAATGACTATGAGTTTAACATATTTCTAAATAAGTATTACAAATTAGTTTTAAAATTGTTTAATAATATACTCTCTTTTTTGTTCTAAATGCAATCAATAGAATTTTGTTTTTCTTCAATATTTTTGGTTATGTTAGGGGTGTGCATCAATTCGAAACCAATGTAATTTAGTCAATCCGCATTCGATCCAATATAGATTGGATTGATTTTTCCAATCCAATTCGATAGGATCAAAAGTAAATCCAATCAAATTGATATTGAATTGGATTGGATGTGGGGTTTTGATAATGAAAAAAGACAATGATGAAATATGAAACATTTATCATTAGGTTTAATCTAATCAAGCCAATAGGATCTAGCCCAGTAGAAAAGGGCCTTGACTTATAGACCAGAGGTTTCAGGTTCAAACCCTCATGGCATTTTAGTTGTGTGTGTGAAAAATCCCCCTCCCTTTTAGTTTAGACTATCACTTGTACTCAAAAAAAAATATATATATTTTTTAAAAGGTTTAATCTAACCAAACACATTACTATACTTAAATTTAAAATATAAATGAAATGCTAGAGAAAATTGTTTTCATTATCTATATATTACAAGGGGCTAGTTATATATTAAGCATGACTCCATCAAATAACTTAAAATGTTCATAACCTTTACAATTACACATACCTACACAAGCAAAATAAGCATGAAACAAACTATATTGGATTGGATTCTCACAAAAGGAAATTCGTCATACGATCCAATCATATTGATTTTTGAAATTAGGGATACAATCCAATCAGTCAAATCATTGAAACCAATAAAAATTGAATTGAATTGGACTGGATCAATCGATTTTCCAAATTGAATTAGATCTTGCATACCCCTAATATATGTTAATTTTTCGGCCCCCTAAAATTTTAATTCTAGCTCCTCTCCTCGTTGTGTGCATAATATTGTTTGATCATTACCCAAAATACATAGGCTTAAGGCCATGATGGGGTATTGGGAGGCACAAGGGGTTGGCTGAGTACCTCACCACCAATAAGCCATCAACTTTATGGGGAAAAAATGAAATCCCAATATTTTTAGGGAGCTAATTTTTCCCTCCTCGTTTGTCCACTTACACTCCCTTTGTGGGAAATTGTATGTTATAGTAAAAAGTATTAAAAACCAAAAGAGGCTTATGGTTAATTGTAGTGATGTGGGCTAGTAGTTTTTGTGTCCGCTTTAGTTTTGCTTTTCGCATGTTAATTTGTTGCCCTATTGGGATTGGTACTTTAGATGTCTTGTTGATGTCTTTGATTATTGTACCGTTGAAGTTCATCTAATGAAAATTTTCTTCAATCAAAACAAAAACAAAAGGGAGTGGAAAAATCAGCTCCCTATTTTTAACATTATAATCACAACCATTGTCGTTTTTTAATTTGTCAGCAATCGCTTTGACAAAATATTGCGGAAAAAAAAAAAATTTATTTGGGCTATTTGCAAAGAATGTAGGAAGTGAAAAACCTTAATTGGTCTTAAGCACCACTCTATAATTAGTCTTGTCCACCCAAGTAGCCTAACAAATTTATATTTCCACAAAACAGGTGGATAATTAATAGAAAATTTACCCTATCTCAGTTTGTTCATTAGTTGTTTATTGTTGTTGATCCCAGAAAATTAAAAAAAAGTTTCTTGTTAATTATAATCAGTTCGTTTTGCACATGGCTGTACAAGAGGAGCTAACTAAATATATATACATATGTATTCTATATATGAAATTTTGGGATTAAACTTTAGTATCCAATAATACTGATTAAAGAATTCGATTAGAGGTTCAGTTTGCAGGCCATGGAGTTCTCACAACCATGATCAAGGATTTCACAAAGGATGTGCTCCATTGCTTTGTTTGCATGTTTGTCACAAGGTTTTAATTAATTATTCTCAACTTCTTTACATGGTTTTAATTTTTCTCTAATTCACCACAAGATTATGATGTTCAATTCATGATGGTTGCAAATTACTAGGTAAATTTTGCGTTTTTCTTTACCAATTTTGTTTTCCAGTTAATTACCCTAAGCATTTGAGTCTAAAGAAAAAAAAAATTAATTTAAGTGGATTTGTTTTTTGAACTGAAGTGTTGCATTCAATAGACGGCAAAGAAACCACTACAAGGCTACAAATCAAGAGGGCCCAACCACAAAGGGAAATAACATGGTGCCCAAGGTTAAAACCCAACCAAATTTAACATGTGCCAAAAGCAAAACACTGCTAGTGCTAAAGATAAACCAGCTAAAGGAGTTACATGAGTAGGGACATAGGCATAGCCTAACACGTGTCCATTCCTTCCAGCAGGAAATATGGAGCCAAATACTTGGAGGGCAGAGAAGACCATCTTTGTTCAGAACATGGGTCCAAAAAGATGGGGGTCTAATGACCCACACTTCCATGTGCATCATTTCCTTTATTTTTGTTGCCAAAATATTGGCTGCTTCATTCGCTGAACTAGGAATCCAAGAGAAATGACAATTAAAATACTTGGAAAGATGCTCCTTGAACTTGTTTAGTATGGAATACATCGTCCAAGGCCCTCTCACAATATTACCATTTAAGCATTGAGTCACAGACCTTGAATCCGATTCTAGAATTACATGTCTTTTCCCCATCTCCTGAGCAAACATGCTTCCCTATAGAAGTGCTTGAGCCTCGACTTCCAAAGCAGAACTTGTGGTGATTTGAACTATCTTTGCCGTGATGAACTTGCATTGGGAATCTCTAATTATAATTCCAAGTTCGGCCTTGCCGTTTCTCAGGTTCCATGTTGAATTTGACGGTATTTCCAGATGAGGGTGACCAGATAGAGGGAGTAGTTTGATGGTTGTTCAAATTCAAAATGTTGTTGCAGGTATGGGTAGTTTGGCAGCAAGGAAACTAGTTACAACAGTTGAGATAGCATAAATCATCGCTTCTAGGGATGGTCTTTGGTGCTCAAATACAACATTACATGTGGTTTTTTATATGTTCCACCAGTTGAAAGCAATTTGTGTCGTGACCCACCTTAACTCATACTTACTTTTTGCATAGATCTGGAAAATATTAAAGAACCATCGGCCAATATTGGTGACTTCTTGAGGGTTGACTCTATAAGTTAGGTAGCCACCAAACTGTACACTTTGAACCCAGGGAGATAGAAGCAAAAGATGCTCAAGTGTCTCCTCATGCGACTCGCAGATGGGGTAGATAGGCGATTGTCTGATTCTTCTTTTGTATAGGTTGTCATTGGTTGCAAGGCTTTTTCTAAAGATCCTCCACATGAAATTACTAATTCTTTGGGGGGAGGGGGGGAGACGGGTGTGGGGTTTTGAATCTTCCATAAGGCTTTCCAAATGTCCTTCGTAATTGTGATGGAGGTTGAGGGATGTTAATGGTTCAATACCTGGTTTTTGTGATGGTCCTAATGATAGCCAGATTAACAGTATGCCTACCACTTTTCTCATATGGCCAAATTAAGCGGTCTATGTCCTCCCTGTGACCAATGGGTGCTCTCAGGATAGAAATTTCCTCATCTTTAGAGATCATATGGTGGATTGAATCCAGCTTCCTTGTACCTGTCTCATGATCAATGATAGACCCAACTAAGGTTTCATCCAAATAGCCCATGCTATTGTCTCCCTCAAGGGTCCCAAAAAGGCTAGGAATCCAAAGGTATTTCCAGAGTTTAGTTTGTGAGCCACTTAAATTTGCCCTAAATTTAAGTGAATATAATTTGGATTAATCATATTGCAGTTCTTGTGAATACTGCTAAAATCAATTTTCAACCATTGCAAAATGCATCCAACCCTGAAGAATTGGAAGTCAAGTGGTTTGACTCCCTAAAGATTTTGTATTTGGAGTCTCTACATTTGCCGCATAGGTGCATAATAATATGTGATACTATTGTTTGTACCATAATCAGCTGAGCACATTCGATACTGGAGGATTGGCGTGCAGACAAACCCACAGCGTGCCGTAGGTAAAACACTCATGGAAAATCCCTAAACACTGCTGGCATCATCATGACCTCAGCTACCGAAGAGACATCTTCCTCCGATGCGGCAATAACTTCTCAAAGGTGATTGTTGAAGCTCTAGATGGTAGAACCTAAGCCTTGGACACATATCAGCACCATAGTGATTTGCACAAAGTCCCAAATCAAAACTTTGTGCAAATACTCACATCCATTCCTCTATAAAATGGGAATAATGCCTAGGTAAAAAGGTAACTACTTTTCACCTTTACCATTACTCAGCCAAAATTATTGTGCGCACTACACTTACTGACTTAAGTATCGAAGAGCCTTTGGTAAGTATCACACCGGTACCTGAAGCTTGACGATTGCTTCTTCTGTCCCTCTTTTTGCAAGACAATATTGCGACCAAAGGTTCCCCTGCCGAAGGTCCCCACTTCTCCATTCCCTGTCGAAGACTCCACACCTCCTCTATCTAAGTTGAATCCAGTTGTGGACATCAACACATTGGTGCCGTCTGTGGGAACCAAATTCTAAATCTCACATCTCTCTTGGCTTTGCTGGCTTCTTCACCCATCAAACCTCTCTGTCTTTTTAGCCCATCACATTATATAATGTCGAGCGAAGCTAGCCTTGGTACTCAGCACAACACTCCCCATGTGGAGTCCTCCAAACGAAGACACTCTACTGATGCCGATCTTCTGGCTGAAATGGCGTGCCTCTGTGCCGATGTTACCAAAATCACAGAGAAGTATGATCACCTTCGCACCAAAATGGTGAATTTGAGCATGACTGCCATACCTTGAAGCACAATTGAGAGAACATTCACCAACAGTTAGCCTAACATGATGTTACCCAGGGTGTTGAGCATACCGTGCCAAACCAACCAGCCATCTCCCTTCACAACGCTCCAAGTCAGCCTCAGCCTGATAAAGGTTAAGGCTACCATCATCTTGAAGCATCTAGGTCACACCTAGGGGTGGGCATTTAAACCGGAAAACCGGAAAACCGAACCGAATCGAATAAAAAAAACTAGAAAATAAACCGGTTGACTAAAAAAGTCAACAAATTGACACCGAACCGGACCGGACGGGTTTGAACCGGTTCCAGTTTCGATTTTACATACTACCGGACCGGACCGGTTATATTAATTTTTTATTTATTTATTTTAAAATATCTTATACTTAAGCCCAATTCAACTTAACCCAAATAAAAAGCCCAACTTTAAAACCCATGTACCTTTTATTTTCAAAGCCCATTCCAATCCCTCTTAAACTCTCTCTATTTTTTTCACTTTCTTTTCTCTTCCCAAAGCTCAGCTCTCTTTTCAGTCTTCAATCAGCTCTCTTTTCAGTCAGCTTTTTCTTTTTGTCCTTCTCTCTCTCTCTCTCCCGCTTCCCCATTTCCTTTCTTTCCTCTATTCTTTCTTCTCTCTTTTACCTTTCCCATTTCTTTTTTTCATTCCTCCTTCTCTTTTTTTTTTTCCGTTTCTTCCTCTCCCTTCTATTTTTTTTATTACAAATTTATAAATAAACCCAATCCTAGACATGTATTTATAAAAAAACCCAAGCACTATTTAAACATAGAAACACACCCAAAATCAACCCCAAAGTCAACTTTTTGGGTGTGTTTATAAATGGGTTTTGAGTGTGTGTAATGATGGGTTTTGGGTGTGTTTATATGTTTAAATAGTGCTTGGGTTTTTTTATAATTTCAACTCCCATTTTGGGTTTTTAGTGAAACTCCCTTTTTTTATTTCTTCTTCTTCTTCTCTACGACTTCTCTCTCTCTCTCTCTCTCTCTCTCTCTCTCTCTCTTTTCCTTTTCTTTCCTTTCTTCCGTTCCCTTTTCTTTTCTTCTTTTTTCTTCTTCTTCCCTGCAACTTCACTCTCTCTCTACCCTTTTTTTTTCTTCTCTGCAACTTCACTCTCTCACTCTCTCCGTGTGATCTGATGAAGAGGATGAAAGGAGTTCTTGCTATGGAGCCTTCTTCATATGCTGGTAACGAAGATCCTAGGACTAGATTCAAGCATCAAAGTCTCATGCAAGGAGAAATCTCGTGTTGTATTCTTTTTTTTCTTTTCTTTTTTTGTGGTTTCATTAGATCTGGTGTTGTATTCTTTTTTTTTCTTTTTTTTTGTGAGTTTCATTAGATGTGGTGTGTTTATGATTTCTGGTCTACCTAGCATTAGATTGTTTAAGGTTATTTTTATGTTAGCCTTCTGAGAATATGAAAGGAAAAATAATTGTTGAACCAAATTTATGTTTTTTTTCCTTATTGTCTACTGTGTATGTGACTTGCTCGAGAACCGGTTCAAACCGGAAATAACCAGTTCGGCTTGATCCGGTTTCTCTCCTATTTTTTTCAAAAACCGGACCGGATGAACAGTACCGGTTTCGGTTTCGATGTGAGCTGCGAACCGGACCGCGCCCACCCCTAGTCACACCCCCTCTAAATTTCTCCACCCAAGGTTTAGCCTCACCGTTCAACCAAGGTGTACAAGGATTATAGGGATCGCATCTCTGAGCTTTGGCCAAAACCCATCCAAGTTCCTATGGACCTCGACGACCCACATGTTGCCCAACTTGGCCCTCCACCGAAGCCACAACATCTACTTGTTCCAGAAAATATTGGTGATTCTAGGAACCTTATAACCTTGAAGACTGGAAGCCTTACCATTCAGAAGCTCTTGAGGAATGAGAAGCTTATCCACCATCACCCCTAAGCACCAATCTTCGGCACATAATGTTAGATATATGCCCTAGAAGCCAATATAAAAATGGAATATTCTAAGGATATAATATAATTAATATAATCAAAGGGTCGTGAATGTTACTCTAAGGTACATAATGTTCACAAAGTAACAACTCCATGGATAAAGATATGAATGGAAAGAAGTCTAAAAAGGTTTGATTCACAAGAACTTTTCATAGGATCACCAATTGGACAATGGTAATCCGCAAAGACTGGTACACACAATGTTTGCTCAAGTGGGAGGATGACTAGTCTCAAGTCATTTGTGTAGAGACACTGAGACAGGTGTGTAGGTGCTCTATAGGGATGGAGTTCACTGAATGCGATCAACTCAAGATTTCTTGTATGGAAGTCTTACTCAAAAGTGTCAAACAAAGAATTCTAAGTTATGATAATGCAAATTAGTCCTTAGACCTAAGACATCATAGTTTTCTTGTGTATGAGCTATTTGTTTTTTTAGAACACTATACAATTGTATCAAAAGGATGCGACTTAAAGATGTTCCTTATGATACTCAGCATATGCACAAAGGCCTGTGAATGTACAATAAGGAATTCCTAGTCTTAGTAAAAAGACAGAATACTCTAAAGATATGATTCGTTGAATCTTTGGCCAAAGTACAAGATGAGAATTGAAATAAGAATGTTTGCAATTACAACCAAGTGAATCATAGAACCTAAAGATGTCATTTTAGGGATTTGACACAAGTTAACCATATCCTAACAACATGACATGGAGTATTATAATAAACAAGGACCATATTGCATTGTAATCACAAACTGACTAGGTTCTCTAAATGAATAGTATTTACCTTGGGTAGCCATGACATACTGTTAAGTGTCACTCATGGTTTGTGGAAGCCCTTTAAGGACTAATTACAATTAGCTTTCGCCAATAGAGAGAATTATATAGAGGGATACTATTGACATTCGATTTATAAGTAATCATTCTTACCCTTAGCCTCACTAATTAGAACTTATAAGATCGCACATTGAAAATGTATGGATCGAGAATTGAAAAGATAATAAATGATTTTGCCGCTTAGTCAAAGTCAAAGTCAAGGTCAAAGTCAAAATTCAAAGTCAAAGGTCAAACTATTGACCTGAGACTTGATACGGTCAACACAAGATAGACTAGGACCAATGCTTGTTAGACATGTTAGTGATTTAATTAGTTAAGTCATTAAATCAATTAAACTATTTAGATTAGCTTAATGAATTAATTAAAGTTATGAAACTTTAATTTTGGTCCCACATGACTTAAACATTTATAAGAAAATGGACCTTATAGACTTAGACAAAATTTGACACATTATAAGATTAATGTTGTAGACCAAGTAGCCTAAAAAGGCCCAGGAAGAGGAGGGTGTGGCACATGTATGACATTATGTCTCTATATAATCATAGCCATAGCACAACACCTTCTTAGGGTTTCAAGTTAGGCATTTAGGAAGAGAGAAAAACATCAAGCCTCATCCCTAGTCTCCTTTGGCCGACCATCATAAAGAAGAAAAAGTTAGCACCCATTTTTCTTCTCTTGGTTCCTTATTGTTGGCGTGATAATTAGGTTTATGGTTTATTATTTAATATAGTTGACTTTGTATACTTACCTTTTTTTGTATACTTTGTACATATTATAAATACCTCAGAATGAGAAGAATAAAATCATTCGATTCATTCATATTTCTATATGGTACAGAGCAATTGATCTGATTGGCTCACTTGCGATCTGAAACCCCAATTAAAAAAACCCCCTAAACCACTCTCTAATGCCATCACACCTCTCTAGGGTTGTTTACCCTGCCTCTATGTTGCCGCAGCCTTCTAAACCTTCATCAAGAGTACACCGACCTTGATGTTTTTACCTCTCTCCCTAAACACAAAACCCAATTCCGTTGCCAATATGTCTACTCTTCCCAGTGAAACTAATCATTTTGGGCCCTTATCAGGGACACCCACTGTTACCATTCAGCAAGACGTTGCTTCCTCTCCCATCAACGTTAAACTGGATGGAACAACTATAGCCTCTGGTCCAAGGTTTTAGAGATGCATATCGCTGCTCGTAACCAAAGCTGCACCCAACACTTCTTATCAGAAGTATGAAGAATGGGTGGCCAAGGATGCCCTACTGAAGTCATGGCTCATCAACTCCATGCATACCAATTTCATGTTGAACTTTATTTAATGTGAAACTGTGAAGGATGTGTGGGATATAGTGAAGAAGGCCTATCATGATGCTTCTGCCTGTTTCCAAGTCTATGAATTGATGAAAAAGTCCTTTCAACTTCGACAAAGTGGTTGGCCCTTATCCACTTATTTTACTGAGATGAATTGTCTCTTTATGGAATTGGACTATCGTCGTCTAACTGATCTTAAGAATCCATATGATATTGCTAAATTAAAGAAACGTACTTCTGAAGAACGTGTCTACATGTTTCTTGCTGGTCCAGATCACAATCTTGACCGAGTGTGTAGTTGCGTGTTGGCTATTGTACCTCTTCCCGATCTTATTGAGGCTTAAGCCATGGTGCGTCGGAGGCCCAACGACAAGTTACTATGATTGCTGAGGGTTCCATTGAAGCATCGGCTCTTGCAGCCAAGAAGGCTCAACTCACTTAGTTCTTGACTCTGGCTCTTCTGGGTGTACTTACTGTAATTGCACAAAGCATGTGAGGGAAAATTATTGGAAATTGGTGGCATATCCGGAGTGGTTCAAACTGAAACAAGCTGCCCGCTAGGATAAACACAAATCCCAAGCACATTTAGTCTCATCGGACTCAACCTCAACAGCCACTGCCTCTCAGGTTTATTATTCCTCAACAATTACGTGTAATATCGGTTGTGCATTCTCCTCTACCTCTACACGACCTTGGATAATTGACTCTGGATCCTTGGATTACATGACCAGATTAATGGGTTGTCAAAAATATTGGCCCATTAGTCCTCAAAAACCCAAAATATTTAATGGGTGATCTAAATAATTACCCATTAAATTTACAGAGGCCCAAATTGCCTATTATATGGTTAATGGATCAATTTTAAAATCTTCATATCCATATTTGGGTCCAAATGCAAATGTCAATTGCAGAAAATTAATGGGTTCATCAAAATTGCCCATTATTTTTCTTGGACATTGACAATAAGAAAAATGGTACAAAACCATCCAATTTTTTCCCATGGGTCATCTACCCATGCAAATTTCAATGAGATTAAATTCAAATATCTCAAACACAAATTCTCAACTAGTGGGCCACACTTACCCATTAATTTCCAATTTTTTCCATAGGTCATCTACCTATGAAAATCTCCAAATTGTCTGAAAGACACAAATTCTAAATTATTGGGCCACACTTACCCATTAATTTTCAAATTTTGGAACTACACCGGTTTGATCCCATGAAAGGTATATATGCAGTCTAGCATCTCAATAGAATGGTAAATATGAAGTTAAGCAGGTGTTTCTGAGGAGGAAAGTCGGCTGAAGATACCTTCAATTTCTCAGATGATAAACTCCCGCCTACTTTGGTTCACTCCATTCCCAAGAATTTGACAAACAAAATTCTCGATTGATACCAAATTCTGAAGGGGTCGCACAACTGGTATGGGCCCTACACCTTCAAGAAATTGATCATCGGCTGGGCTATTCTGAACTTGTTGAAATTCAAATTCTTCAGCCAGGGGGTTTGACCCATTATCATCCATGTTAAAGTTAGCACTCTCATGAAAAATGCTTTCCTCTTTACCTGAAGAAATGAACTCAAAAGCTGGGTTATCTGCATTAATAGGCTCCATTTTGTGAGGGAAAGAGACGTCATCAAATCTCATTTCCCCTTGCATTGGATTAGAACTCTCTTCTTTGGGTACATCGCTAGACCTTCCAACCTCAACCCTATTGTGATTTTCATGATGTGCCCATTTGAGGTGTGAGTCTTGATTAACACTTTGGGAGTGGTGCATCATGTGATTAACCCCTGAGAAATGTTGCCCTCTAGCATTGCGAATTCTCTTCTTGCGTCCTCTGCTTGAAGAAGCATCATGAGGAGGTGAAGAAGAATTGAAGCCTTTTTTGCCCATGCTTGACAAGATACGTTTCAAATTATCAATCACAAAGACGTGGTCCCTCCTTTGGAAGTGCCTGTCTACAGCTGAGAAATTTTTTGACATAAAAATCCCATGTAAGTTGCATAGGCAGTCATCTACCATCTACAATATCACCAAGAGCACTCCCATATGCAGGTAGAGCATGGAATAGAAATGCGTTGTTAGATCCTTGCGAATGAGGACAGTTTATGCTCTCGCCAATTTTTCAATCCCACACCTCTATCTCTCACATATGCTAAATAGAAGTTTGTTCGTTGGAACTCCTTGGTCAAAACCAAACTGGCAAGCAAATCTGTTTGGGTAGTAAGGTTCCAACCAAAGGTGGCCACCCACCCTTGCAGGAAGTAATCCAGAGCCATGCAAATCAAGTACTCAAAGGTATCATCTGCTAGTGTCTTTGTGTCTAAAAGGATACAATCTTCATGTGCAAGGAAGGCACTGGGGTGATAAACCATAGAATCACTCTTGAAGATTATCCTAGCTTGAGTGGGGTCAACATATTTGGCCTTGATTTGGTTATACTTTTCAAGAAGAGGGTAATATTCTGGAAAGTCGTTATCACATCAACGTGTAGTCAGGTCAAGAATATGCTTGCCTAACCGTCCAAGCACATAGTGAATGGGAAGACATGCGTTTGCTAGACCAGGGGCTCTAGGGTGAGTAGCAACTATACCAAGAGCATGGTAAATAAAAATTAATACCGCTGGAGCAAGTGAAACTTTGAGCCCACGAGCCATCAAACTTTCCATATAAAAACACTCGGGCCTTATGGCCTTGTTAGTAGGCATGACAAAATGGCTAAGCCAAAAAGCTAAGAAAGCAGCTAGCTAACCTTCATGAGAAATGTTCAAAGGAAGTTTCCTAGTCTCAGCTACTTGTTTAGCAATTATGTTCTTGCCATTTCCAGTAGCACCATATACAGCTTCTCCTCGGAAAAAATGCTCAACCCAATGATTACAAAAGACTTGACCTTTCTTATGGAAAATGTATAACTGTGTATGGATTCTCAAAAGTTCAACATTCAAAGGATACAAATCTTCACGGCATAATTCTTCGTTTAGAGGGATGCACTCATCATATTGGAGACCCAAAATTGGTAACCCACCAATAACTTTCAAGTCATACAAAGAAATGCCCATTTCACCATTTCCATGATGGAAAGTGTTGGATAAAGGCCCCCATAACTCGCAAAATGCTCTCCATACATTAGAGCAACAATGATAAGAGTAACAGGAAATGGTCACTGCACCAAAAATACTAGCTTGGTGGAAAATATCTCCAAAATTGTGCAAGATAGTTTCTGTCCATTACATTACAAACTATTGGAAGGTAGCTCGACCATGAAACCTGAAATTGCTCTCCCATGCAATTTGCTCACGAAGCATCTTGTGCAAAGCCGTATAAAATTCATCTCTGGGTAAAACTCTTTGTCCCCATTTAACGAGTTGTTTACTTTCGCCAAACAATGAGCTTGAAAGTAAGCACCTCTTGCTTGGGAAACCTGAATAACTCTGTCCTCTTCATGAGGATTAAACTTCAAATGTCCACTACTCACATGATCAATACTAAACCAAGTCACGCGACTCTTAGGGGATAAGAAGAGGTTGATTGAGTTCATAACAAAGGATCTCATATATTTTGAATAAGCCGTGATTGCTTCTCCACTCGCATCGAGGGCAGGTTCTTGGAGAAGGTTCCCCGTGCGCATTCATCACCTGAAATTGAGAATGCAAAAGGGAATTAGTTCACAGTTTAAGACATTACACACATGAAGCTTGAGGGGGCAACTATTGAGATAAAAAAAATCGGTAAAATAAATTGCATTATTGTTCAAATAAAAATTAAATGATAAATGCAAGCCAACATGGGTTCCCAAAATTTTTGGGATATCTGTTATGTTTCAAATTGATGGATATAAAAGATAATAGGCCTAAAAGGGAGGCTGAATCTGATCAGAACTTATTTGAAATTCAAAAGTGTTGTTTGTTCAAGGGAGTCTTATCCCGTTGGCCTATAAAAAGGCTACAACAGAAAAAAGAAAGAAAAAGAAAAAGAGGAAGCTGGCGACAGATTAAAAAAGGCTGCTGAAGAAATTAGAGCAGTGCAAAGAAGAGAAAAAAAATTGTTACAGGTATACTGTCATCCTTATTTTCTTTTCTATGTTAGGCATAGCATGCCACAAATACATGGGTGAAAAACCCCGAAATTACTTGGATGCAAATCCATGGATGTGAAACCCCGAAATTATTTGGATGCAAATCCATGGGTGAGTGACCTTGAAATTATTTGGATGCAAATCCATGGGTGAGTAACCCTGAAATTAATTCGATATAAAAATCCATATGGGTGAGAAACCCAGAACCTCTGCGGATGAAAGAAATTTGGAAAAAAAATGGGTTCAAAGATCCATGACAATTAGCAAACGAAATGGGTCTTTACTTTCGTCATGTTGTTTCTCCTTCTCTCTGCCTGAACAAGCTGCAAATGAAAAATGATAAGTTAATTCTCTACCACCAAGTGCAGCAAGGGATAAAAAGAGTTGAAGTAAAGTTACTGGGGGTTTATTCCCATAGCAAATGCAAATAAAAAAGGGTTATACCTCTGTCTTTGGAGAATCTGATTAACTATCTCCCTCTCGGTTAAAAAACTAATTTCCTCTGTATCTATGCTGCTCTGAAACACAAAAATAAAATAAAAAGAAATCAGCAATTTGCATATAGATAGAACCAAAAAAGAAGAAAGGTTTGAAGGAGCAGGTCCTATTGCACATCCAATTCTTGTATCAATTCCTAGTTTGGTGTTTGTGTACAGACTATCAAAACAAAAGAAGGAGGACAGCCATGGAATCCCGAGTTAAACAAACCCATTAGTTACAAACCCATTTGAAAATTGGGAAGTGTAGCAAATAATATAAAAACAAAATGGAGAAATTGATGATTGAAGCATGAGCATAGGAGTTCAGTCTCGCAACATGTGCAGAGTAAAAATTGCAACTTTGCTCAACTCTCTCTTCTTCTCTGTCTAGCAAATCGCACAGCCCTTTGGAATTTGTTCTAAATTTGTGTTAGTTCACATACAAACAGACCAAAGAAAGGCAAAGAAAAAAAGGGGTTCCATAGAAAGAAAGAAAGAAGGCTTGAAGGGGGGGAGGCCACATTGCACAGATTTTGGAATTTGCTTTGGAATTGTGTTTGCAAACAAGCAAAACAAAAGAATGGTTGTTGGTGTGCGAACAGGCAAGGAAAAAAATATATGAAAAAAAAATAGTTGGAGAAGGAAGAAAAGTCAACAAACAAAACAAAAGAGGAAGAAGAAAGTGGTTGTACGCCACTTTGCTTAAATGTGCATATAGACAAAATAAGGGGTGTAGGCCAACATGGAGGAAAGTAAAGATGCTAGCTAAAGGGGAAAATGAGTATAAAAAAAATAATAATAATAAAGAAACAAGATTCGTTGTGGGTTTTCTCTCCTAGCTTGCTTTGCACCAGCAGATTTGTTTCGAAATTTTGGTTTGAGCATTCAAAGGGCTATTATGAGATATTTGAGTTAATCTCAAGTACTCCAGATAAATATGGGAGTTGCAAAGCCTGGTTATATTTGGAAACAAACTCTACAAGAGTTTCATAGTTATCGAGTTGGCTTCAATTGGCTGTTGGGTACCAAAGCTTTTCTGATATGGACTCCTTGCTTGTGGGCTAATTGATAACAAATATCAAAGGCCTGAAACATATTAATGGGTTGTCAAAAATATTGGCCCATTAGTTCTCAAAAGCCCAAAATATTTAATGGGTGATCCAAATAATTACCCATTAAATTTACAAACGCCCAAATTGCCTATTATATGGTCCGAATGCAAATGTCAATTGTAGAAAATTAATGGGTTCATAAAAATTGCCCATTATTTTCCTTGGACATTGACAATAAGAAATGTTGACGCTCAAAAATGGTTCGGCACTTTTAAGCCCAACTTAGTGATGAGGTGTGATTGATGATGGGTGAAGGTAAGGACATTCACCAAGTGTGTGAGGATTTGAGCAAGAGATAAACATACAGAAGACAAGAGATACGTGGTTCACCCTTAATGAATGGGCTACATCCACGGAGAAGTATATTCTCATTATTATAATATTGTGTATTTACATTTGTACATGGAGTTGGACCCAAATATAAAAGTAAGAAAGGAGAAGGTCATGAGTAAAAATCAAGCCCAGCCCAAGGATCCTTTCCTAAGTGGAGAGTGGTCTCCTTTTCTAGATGATGGGGAGTCTACACATCTTGTAATATTTCAATGTGGGACTTTTTGCCTTGCATAGATTTGCTTCTAGTTGCTTGGTCAGATATGGTATAAACATAAGTCCCCTAAGTTCTCAAGCAAGGAGGTACTTCTTGGTTGAGGACTTATAATTTTCAATGCACTGACTGAGTAACACCTTAGTCTTCTTCCAAGTAGTGTGGTGTCGATGGTGCCGAATGATGACAGGGTGCCGAAGGAATCGCTTCGCCTAATGATGGCGGGGTGCCGAAGGCATCACTTTCGCCTAATGATGGCGGGGCGCCGAAGGCATCACACTCGTCGAATCATGAAGCTTGTAGAACAACCTTAAGTCCCCATTTTTACTTTTTAGAGGGGTGCCGAAGGCATCGCTCTCGTCTAATGATGGCTGTCGCGCCTAATAATGACGCGGTACCGAAGGCATATCTCGCGCCTAATGATGGCGGGGTGCCGGAGGCATCTCTCGGGCCTAATGATGACGGGGTGCCGAAGGAGAGAGCCAAGGAATTGGAGCTGGGCCATTAGAAATTTGGCAGTGCAGATTTTCTAAGCTTGGCTAGGATTGAGAAACTCTCTTTGTTGTTTCTGGTGGTGTCGGCAAGGGTGAACACAGTTTTGAGGGGCTGTTTCGCGAGCCCCCTTCGACAGAGGTTGGGTTGTTGGAGCCGTGAGGCAAGGCTGTTTGCGCCATAGAAGAAAACGGTGTGGGGATCTCGAAAACTTCAACAAACCTTACCGTTCGGCAAGGTTAGGTGGAGGTTGGATGAGGGCTCTCATTCTCGTTCCGTTGCCGCCCTACCGATCGATAAGGGCGTGTCCGATTGTATTGATAGGCTGAGAAGATGTCTTCAAGCTCCATCGCCATCTTACTGAATCAGTTAGGTGCTTGCGGAGGTGCCTTTTGAGAACTATTATCAACTTTGTCGTTCAGCATGTATGACACCATGGGTGTCTTGAGAGATTTACCGAGAGGTGAGAGATGACATCTATTTTCAGTTGATGAGAGGTGCCGAGAGGCATGTCACGTTCTTCCCCTATTCTTCTTTGTGTTTGCTCCAGATGGGCATGTCTCAGAGATGCTGAAGGGTAATTAATACTTTGTCATCGAATTGTAAATTCCCATTCAAGAATTAAAAAGGAAGTCCTAGTCGATGGTGGTAGCTTCGGCAAGTTGGTGATGTGAAGCCTCAAGTTTGCCTCGGCAGGTATGGTGTCCTTAGCATGCTACCTTTTTCCTTTGTTGAAGATATCATGGGTGTGTAGATCAATTTGGTGGCTGGGTGCCGTTTGGCTTGGCTTGACAACGGCTCAAAAAATGAGAGATGAGTTCTCATTCAGCGAGGAGTCTTCTTCGGTGCTTAAGTTGTTGCATCATTCCGCAGCCTCCGTTTGTGCTTTTCAAACTTCGGTACACTTGGGATCGTGAGGCCAGCACAAAGACATGCGTCTGCGAGTGAAAATTGTTGACCTTGTAAGGTGAAGCACCATCCTTGCCATTAGGTAAGGATCTCCATGCAACTGGTCTTGCCTTAAGCTGGGTTCTTTGAAAGGCAAAGTTTTGACAATTTCTAATATCGCGACTTACACCTTTGGTTTTGCAGCTGTCGTTCAGCAAGGGTGACTGGAAACAAAAAGGAAGGACCGGTTCAGAGATTTCTGCCTTCGCGCCACAACTTCGGCACGGCTTGGTTCGAAGGAGAGGTCGAGTCTTCCATTGATTCCGGCTTGAAGCCACAGTGAGGCCTTGGTGAGACTTGGTTGTCCCTCTTCCTTCGGCAGGTGAGACTTGGTTGTCCCTCTTCCTTCGGCAGGTGAGACTTGGTGAGTCCGTCATGATTTGAGCAGATTTCGCAAGCTCCCTATTTCGGCACGACTCTTGCCATTCGGCAAGGGTGTTGAGAAGTTTCTCGAGAGTTTGTATGCACAGCTCCGGTAGAGTGGCCAGGAGGCTGGTTTCGTGGAGGCACTTTGATTTTTGGAAGGAGCCATCTTGCGAGTCCTCATTGCTTCTGCACATAACCCACAATCTTTGGGTGTATTGAGAGGTTATGGCAGAGATGGCAGAGGTAGCCTGATGAGGTTGCTGAAAAGCATGAGACCTTTGCATAGATTTTTATTGAATTGCCGAACGACAACTGTTGAATTTTAATGAAATGTAATACTTGTTGAAAAGCAATTAGGCCACAAAAAATGGCTTTTGCTTATTTTAATTGGATAACCTATTATATTAATAAGGAGGAAGACTACTTATCTTTTTGTTGGGCAACATGTTGCTGTTCGGCAACTTTGGCTTTTGTAGAGATGATGATTCCACACTTGGTCACGGAAGCCATGCAAGCCATGCAAATTGGGTGGCTTTCCTCCAATACTAATTTATGTAGAAAATTATGAACAGGCCACCTATCATATGGAATTGTGGCCCAAGTGGGCCTCCCTTGGGCTTGAATTGTCTTTTGCATGTTGCTGCCTTAGCATTCATGGTTGCTCCAGCATGGGATTGCCGTTCGGCAAGTTAGGAGATGTTGATTATATGGGTGCCGAAGGGCACTGAAGAAGAGGAGAATGACAGAAGCTTTTTGTGTCTATTCCCACAGACGGCGCCAAACTGTTGACACTCAAAAATGGTTCGGCACTTTTGAGCCCAACTTAGTGATGAGGTGTGATGGATGATGGGTGAAGGTGAGGACCTTCACCAAGTGTGTGAGGATTTGAGCAAGCGATAAACATACAGAAGACAAGAGATACGTGGTTTACCCTTAATGAATGGGCTACGTCCACGGAGAAGTATATTCTCATTATTATAATATTGTGTATTTACATTTGTATATGGGGTTGGACCCAAATATAAAAGTAAGAAAGGAGAAGGTCATGACTAAAAATCAAGCACAGCTCAAGGATCCTTTCCTAAGTGGAGAGTGGTCTCCTTTTATAGATGAGGGGGAGTCTACACATCTTGTAATATTTCAATGTAGGACTCTTTGCCTTGCATAGATTTGCTTCTAGTTGCTTGGTTAGATATGGTATAAACAAGAAAAATGGTACAAAACCATCCAATTTTTTACCATGAGTCATCTACCCATGCAAATTTCAATGAGATTAAATTCAAATATCTCAAAAACAAATTTTCAATTAGTAGGCCATACTTACCCATTAATTTCCAATTTTTCCCATAGGTCATCTACCTATGAAAATCTCCAAATTATCTCAAAGACACAAATTCTAAATTATTAGGCCACACTTACCCATTAATTTTCAAATTTTGGAATGCAGGTTTGATCTCATCAAAAATACGTAGGCAGTCTAGCATCTCAATAGATGCAACCGCAACCAAATTTGAATCATTGGTTACATCAACCAAATTTCCACAAATCAAATATCCATCTTCACACAAATCAATTTGGAACTACACTGGTTTGATCTCATCAAGGGTACGTAGGCAGTCTACCATATCAATAGACGCAACCGTAACCAAATTTGAATCCCTGGTTTATTTCGTTAACCAAATTCGCCACAAACACAATTCCATATTGAATCCCTAGTTTATTTAGCTAAATTCACTTAAACACTTCTCAATACAATTCAAATCGAATTTTTCTGGCAATGAGTCATTTATTCATTGCGATTCCTTGAACGACAAGTGGCTTGATTCCAGTAAGGGATGTGTAGGCACCTTCAGGTTGGACTTGGGAGCAGCCGCAAAACCAAAGACATATTTTGTTTCTTTATGATGGAATCAAATGGTGTTCCCTTGAATCAAATGGTGTTCCCTTGAAGCAAAGGATTGTAATTAAGAGACACTGTGTCTCGAACGAGTTGAACCTAAAATAATAAAACTCCATTATTTAATTAGTGGTGGTGAAATTATGTTTGGAGGTTCGCATTTTTGCTTCAACAATAGGCTCTGTGCCAATCATGTAAGGGATAGCCTTTCCTGTGACACGCACATCCCCTACCGATCGGTAGGCTCCGTGCCAAACTTGTAAGGGAGAATCTCGCATGACCAGAGCATTCTCCCTACCGATTCTTCAAGATATCACCATCTAGGAAATCATTAGTCGTGGTCATGGTACTAAGAGGGGAGGCTTATATTATGTGGATGATGTTAGCACATGGAGTTTATCAGTAAAGGGATTTGCTAAAGATAAAGAAAATCATATTTGGTTATGGTATCATTGTTTAGGCCATTCATCTTTTGGTTATCTAAAACATTGATTTCCATATTTATTTTCGGATTGTACTATTTCGGATTTTAAGTGTAACACTTGCATTTTGGCTAAGAGTCACCTTTGTTACTTATCCGCCAAGTTCTAATAAAACCTATGTTCAATTTGCTTTGGTTCATACTAACGTTTGGGGTCCTGTCCCTGCTTCTACTACTTCTGGATATTGGTGATTTGTGATCTTTGTAGATGATTTCACTCGTATGACGTGGTTATATTTCATGAAAAATAAGAGTGATGTTTCTGATTGATTTTGTGTTTTTCATAAAATGGTACAAACTTAGTTTTCTGCTACTTTGAAGGTTATTTTTTCTGACAATGGCGGTGAATATTGCAATCAGATGTTACAAGCTTATTTTTCAGGATCATGGTATTATTCACAAGACAACTTGTCCTTAAACACCACAATTGAATGAAGTTACGAAAAGGATAAATAGCAGCTTCTAGAGATAACTCGAGCCAGTCTCATTGGTGCCCACATGCACCTTACTTTCTAGGAGGATGTTATCACCTCTGTAGTGTATCTCCTCAATCGTGTCCCAACCAGTGTTTTGCAGTTTAAGAAACCTTTGGAGAAACTATCTACCAATGTTACACTCTCTTCCCATTTGACCCTGGCTCCACAAGATTTTGGGTGTGTTGTATTTGTCCACCTTTAAAAAAATTTGTGTACTAAATTTGGCCCTTTTGCTTTGAATTGTGTGTTTTTTTGGCTACTTTCCACACCAAAAGGGTTACAGGTGTTATCATCCACCTTCTCGGCATTCTTTTGTCACCATGGATTTTACTTTTTCAGAAACAGAGATGAATTTTGCCCAACAGTGTCCAATTCTTCTCTTGAGGAGGAGATTGTAAGTGTGGAAAGAGCCAAATTGGATGATTGTGCTACCATATTTAGTTGATGTACCATCATCAGATGTGACAAAATCTGAGTTGACAGAACCATTGATAGCAAATAGAATACTAGACTTATCGACTATACCGGCAATGACACCATCACTGTCTAATGCAAACCTTTGGGCTTCTGATGCTTACTTTCCGCTCCTCTACTCCTATAGTACCCAATCATGATATTCCTTCTGCTGGTATTCCTACGGTAAGTCAAGAAAATCAAATTAACACTAATAATTCTGCCATTGAACATATACCTGCTATACAAAATTGCAGTGACATTTATCAATTACTACTAAGGGATACTCGTGGGAAACCCCTAGATAGGTACTCACCTGATAATTCTAAGCAGGAAAAATATCCAATTGCAAAATATGTTTCTACTCATCGACTATCACCATCCCATGAGGCCTTTGTGAATCAAATATTTGCAATAACTATCCCCATTAAAGTACATGATGCATTGTGAGGTTCTAAATGGGATGATGCAATGACTGAAGATATGCGAGCTCTTGAGAAGAATCAGATATTGGAATTAATACCGTTGCCAAAGAGGAAGAAGCCAGTGAGATGCATATGGGTTTTCACTATTAAACGTAAACCGGATGGTATGGTGGACAAGTACAAGACCAGATTAGTTGCAAGAGGATTTACTCAAACTTATGGTATCGACTATCAAGAAGTATGGGTATAAGTAGAGTAATGCAGATCATAATTTTATTTCTTAAAAGACAGAATGGTAAAGTAATTGCACTCATTATATATGTAGATGATATGATTGTGACAAGTGATGACACTGAAGAAACTAGAAAGCTGAAAACTTATTTGGCTTTTGAATTTGATACAAAAAACCTGGGAAGTTTAAAATATATTTTGGATATTGAGGTTACTCGTTCCAAGCAGGGTATATTTCTATCTCAAAAGAAATATGTTCTGGATTTATTGAAGGAAACTGGCATGTTGGATTGTAAGCCAGTGAATACACCAATTGAACAGAATCACGACTTGGAAGAATCTTCTTATCATACACTAGCAATCAAGGAGAGATATCATAGGTAGGTTTGTAGATTTATTTATCTGTCACGTACAAGACCTGACATTGCTTATGCAGTCAGTGTTGTGAGTCAATTTATGCATAATCTAAGTGAGAATCATGTGGATGCAGTTATGAGGATTCTACAATATTTAAAGTTTGCGGGAAAGGTCTTATGTTCTCTCGGTATGTTACAAGATATACAGACTTCGATTGAGGTGGGAAAGGAGTTAAACGAAGGTCTACTTCTGGCTACTTCACATTTGTGGGAGGTAATATATTTACTTGGCAAAGCAAGAAATAGAAAGTTGTAACCTTATCTAGTGCAGAGGCCAAATACACAGCCATGACTAAAGGCATTTGTGAACTCTTATGGTTGCGAATACTCATGCGGAGTTGGGATTTGAGCCTAAAACTACCATGAAGTTATATTGTGATAATTAGTGAGCAATTAAGATTGTAGAGAATCTAGTACAACATGATTGTATTAAACACGTGGAGATTGATCATAATTTCACATATGAGAAGCTAAAGGAAGATATTATACAGATTCTGCATGTCAAGACTATTGAACAGCTGACAGATATTCTGAGAAAGGCAGTATCAAGTCAAGCGCTTCATTGACTCACTTGTCAAGTTTGGCATTGAGATATCTATGCGCCACCTTGAGGGGGAGTGCTGGTGCGAGTCCCTCCTAAAATTAGGATATAATTTTGTAATTAATTGTAATTCCTTATTAGATGGGATTGTTTTTATTTTCTTAGTTGACTTATGTATATTTGTAACCTTATAAATACCTCCTAAAGAGAAGAATAATAAAATATACAAATTATTCTTAACCTATTTTGCGTTAATTGACCATGACATAATTTATAATGTAACTGTTCCTCCTCCCCTCTCCTTTCTTGTTCCCCTTTTCTTTTGGGTTAGTGAATAAGTACCATGGGGATTTTTGACTAAGAAGTCCCTTGTGGTGGTTTCTTCTAAGCCATGCTCAAATCGAACTTCACCACTACCTCTTTTCGGCTAATTCCTCAATAAAATTCTTCTCCCAAAACCCTCCCTCTAAAACTTTGCATATTCTCTAAATTTAATTATACATTGCATTTGAAGGAGTTTGCTAGAGTTTACCGAATTTTTTTCACCATGATTTCGATTGGCATATTTGTGCATTGTTTTCTTGTAGGCTAGATGCAGTGGGTTTGATGGTGGCACAGCTTCAGGTGGTGACAGTAATGTTTATTTAGGCTTATAAGTTGTTTAAGAGGAGTGATTTGTGCGATTTCTGTCTACTTTAGTTTTTTTATTTTATTAGTGTGTTAATTTTATTGTTCTTATGGGTTTGGTACTTTGAATATCATAGTGATGTCTTACTTGCATTTTTTTAAGGGTGTAATGAAGTTGCTCTCTGATTTATTTTATTTTTTAATTATCAAAATCTCGCAATGGGCTTAGAGTTTTGTTTTACGAACTCTATCTTGCAAAGTATATTTCGTTTTCTCATCAAAACTGTTCCAAACCTTTTTGCAATGAAGTTTATCATGGGAAAATTTACCCATTTTTTCTGGATATTTACAAGAATCTTCCACGCAATCTTTAGCAAACGCCAAAGACTGATAGAGAAACAGCAAGCGGCCCACAAGACAAGATTGACCACAGACCAAGAAGGTCAAGCCCCAATAGAATTCTTGTATGCAAAGGTGGAAAGAGGAAGGAAAAAAAAAAAGAAAGGAGAACAGTCAAGCACGTGGTTTTTGTTTTTACTTTACAGGTTGTTAATGGTTGTTGACGGCCGTTAAGTAAATAATTAGAGGTAAATAAATAAGGGTAAATTAGTAAGTAGACGAGGTGGGGACACAAAGGATGCGAACAGCAAATATCACCTCCCAAATTAGTTGTCTCATTCGTACGTGGCATTAACCCAAATTAGGAATTTAAAGGTCAGCAAGGCTATTATAGTAAAATCACGCTCCATTATGACTAAATATTATTATTTAAAGTAACATATCTAATTGGTCATTTGAACCTTCCAGGAAAGAGAGTTTTCCTTTCAGGTGCATTTTTTCTATTCTCGGGTGCTTGTTTTCCATTTAAACGCTTTTTTTCCATTTAAGCAATTGTTTTCCATTTCAGTGTTTGCTTTCTATTTAGGGCGCAGATATTTATAACTCAAATGGTTAAAAAGATTCAATTTAATATCGGAAATCTTGTGTTAAAGTCTCTACTTAATATCGCTCGTATGAAAAGAAAAAAATAACAGCCAATAAAGCCACTTTGAATTTATAAAGTCCGAGTATCAATCTTACATAGACGGGGCTAGATGGCGAATATCTAATTTGACTTCGTACGTAGTAGATACGATCATGCTGCCATGCACGTGTGATTATTATTATTTTTCTTACTTTTATTTTGAATTAATAGAGAGAGAGGGAGATGATTCACCGTTGAGATACCTTTCAACATTTGGAAGATAAATACTATTAACAAAATTTATTATGTGTTTTTTTTTTTTTTTTTTTTTTTTTTTTTTTTTTAAACTTAAACATAGATCGTACGTAATTATTGGCGTAATAATCGATTACGCAGAATAAAATCTAATACTCATATTGCACGTATGTTACAACAAATGAATACTAAAATCATTAAAAACGTCTGATACGCTGTGTTAAACTCCATCACCCTGTGATTGTGATGAGTTTCGCATAATAATTTGCGGAATCCATAAATAAAAGCTAAAAACTGCTTGACCGAACATAAAAATATCTACGAATTGACCAAAATGGTGGGATGTAACGCACGTTTGGTGAAAGCAGCAGTGACTTCAGGTTGAGAAAAAGTGTGGAAGAAAATCTTCACTACAATAAAAGAGTCTTCCGTATCTAAACGCCAAAAAGGTTACCCACGTCTTAACCACGGTTAAAACGTCACCTAACCCTAGTTAAATAGGCCACCTTCCAAAATGAAAAAGTTACTGTTGTTGCTCCATATCCTTCTTGTCCCTGCAAGCCCACCACCGTTCTTATCTTTTCTCTTCCATTTATAAAGGCTCGGAAAACCCACTAATAAACACACTCTCTCTCTCTCTCTCTCTCTTCTGACCAGAAAAAGAAAAAAAAACCTCTCTCTCTCTCTCCGAGCAATCAGAGAGTGCTGGAGGAGCTTGATGGTACCTTCATTTTCTGCTTCTTTTATTTAAAAAAGTACTTGTTTCATTTCTTATTGTTCATGGCTGCTGAATTTTGTAAAAAAAAATTTTTTGCTCAATCTTTTGATGTTTCATGGTTTTTGATGGTTGATCTGCTTGCTGTTTTGTATCTGATATGCATCACTGTCTGGAGTTGTTTCTCTTATTCATTTGTAAAAATATGTAATAGTTTGTGTCTGCGTTTTGTTTGATATGCCTGTTGTTTCATGGTAATATATATATATTTTTCTTTTCTATATGATTTTTTATTTTTGCGTTTTTTTCTTTTTATTTCTTGTATAAGAATTTAGGTTTTATATGTTTGGATCTGGATGGACAGATAGGTTTAGCCTTTTGATCCAAAAGATGGCTACCCTGAATTTCCGGATTTATATTGAATTATGAAAAAGAATTAATAAGTGAATTATGTTGCTTACATAGGTGGAAAATTTGCTGTAAACCTGCGTTATAAGCTATAGCCGTTTGTGTAAACCGAAATCAATAAATTAAATAAAACCTGAAACGTGGTCCTGTCAATACTTAATGACAACGTAATTGTGAAGAAAATGAATCTGAGTAACATGTAATTGTGAAGAAAATGAATCTGAGTGTTCGTAGATCTGGGGGTGCTTGGCTCTGTTCTTTCTGCTTTAGTGGTTCGCATTTGCAGGGTATTTACGTGGCACTTAAATTTGGTTTTTAAAGCGATTATCTCATGTTTTTTGTGTCACTGATGGACACTTTTCCCTTTTTGTTTTTCTCTCTTTTCTCGGTTTTTCGAGAACCTCCTATTTTTTTGCTTTTAGTGACTTAGAGCCATGTGTTAGGATTTTGTTTTGTTTCGTTTTGAATGTGAAAATAAGGAAACCCATTGTGATCTTTTGTTGATTTAATGCATTTAATTTATAGTGCTTTTGTAAGTGGTTCTGCTTTGTTTAGCGTATTACCTTTTATGTTTCTAATTACTTGTTAGTTATGAAATTATGTACCTTACCATGTATTTTCTTTCATTAGATGAAAGTTATTATTGCTAGTTCAATGTACCTGATCTATGATATACTAATTGTGGGTTTAACTAACTTTTTTGTTATTTATTTCATTGGCAGAATATTGAATTTCATTTACTCTTCCCGGTCGAGTATCCTTTATTGGGAAACCTTTGCTTCTAAAGTTTTGAAGCTAATATCTGTGCGCAAGATTGGAAATCTTTTAAAGAGCGAGCGAAGTGTGGAGAATCCGTCGTAGACTGCGTTGATTACCCCTTCTTTTATATATATTTATATACCATAAATATATAATCAGGGTTGTTCTTCGTGCCGGTGCTAAATGGGGATCTTTGAGGAAATGGGTTTCTGTGGTGAGCTTGACTTTCTTTCAACCACCTCTGGGGAAGGCGACGGCGTCGACGCAGCTCCAGAGCATGAACCAGAGACAACAGTAGAGGAGGATTATAGTGATGAAGAAATGGATGTTGACGAGCTTGAGAAGAGGATGTGGAGAGATCGAATGCTATTGAAGAAGCTGAAAGAACAAAATAAGGGAAAGGAAAGAGTTGACAACGCAAGGCAGCGTCAATCACAGGAACAAGCTCGGAGGAAGAAGATGTCACGGGCACAAGACGGAATCCTGAAATATATGCTGAAAATGATGGAAGTTTGCAAAGCTCAGGGTTTCGTTTATGGGATTATCCCTGAAAAAGGAAAACCAGTGAGTGGCGCTTCTGACAATCTCCGAGCATGGTGGAAAGAAAAAGTAAGATTCGATCGTAATGGCCCAGCTGCAATTTCCAAGTATCAGGCAGATCATTCAATCCCTGGGAAGGATGAAGACTGGAGTGGAGTGGCATCAACTCCTCACACCTTGCAGGAGCTCCAAGACACCACTCTTGGTTCACTTTTGTCAGCTCTTATGCAGCACTGTGATCCACCCCAAAGACGTTTCCCATTGGAGAAGGGTGTTGCCCCACCTTGGTGGCCTACTGGTAATGAGGTATGGTGGCCTCAATTGAGTCTGCCCAAGGATCAGGGTCCTCCTCCATACAAGAAGCCTCATGATCTGAAGAAGGCGTGGAAGGTTGGCGTTCTCACAGCTGTGATAAAGCACATGTCACCAGATATTGCCAAGATCCGCAAGCTTGTTCGTCAGTCTAAATGTCTGCAGGACAAAATGACTGCTAAGGAGAGCGCCACTTGGCTAGCCATTATAAACCAGGAGGAAGCTTTGGCCCGGAGTTTGTATCCTGATAGATGTCCTCCTCTATTGACTGGTGGTAGTGGCTCTTTTGCAATCAGTGGAACCAGTGATTATGATGTTGAAGGGATTGATGATGAACAAAATGTTGAAATAGAGGATTGCAAACCTCATGTTAATCACTTCAACATTGGTACTGCTGGACAAAGAGATAGGCCGGTACCGCAGATTAAGGGAGAGCTCATTGAGATCAACTCGGATTTTGGTCAAAAGAGGAAGCAGCTGGCTGAAGAGCCACCAATTATGCTAAATCCGAACATTTACACCTGCGAATACCCCCAATGCCCATATCATGATTATCGTCGGGCTTTTCTCGACATAACTGCAAGAAACAATCACCAGTTGAATTGTGCATACCGGAGTAAATCTTTACAAGTGTTTGGAATGTCCAGCTTTCAACTTAACAATGAAAAACCTGCGGTCTTCTCTCTACCCCTTGGTCAACCAACACAAGCTGTTCAACAACCAGTGAGCCAGGCAGGTAGTTTTAATGCATCAGGATTTGGACTGGCTGATGATGGACAGAAAATGATATCTGAGCTTATGTCATTTTATGATAGTAATATTCACCCGAACAAGAACTCCAATCCTGGAAACCTCAATGTTGTAGAAGGCCACAACCAGCAGCAGGCAGAATTTCGTTTTGCAATGAATGATAATTTCTTTGGTCAAGGGGTGGATATGGGACGAAACATGTCTGAACCGAACCCCATGCCTGTGGATATGGGATGCAACATGTCTGAAACAACCCCCATGCCTATGCATCGTCAAGCTTTCCCATCCGCAGAAGTTCAGTTTGATCAGTGCACAATATTTGATTCTCCATTTGGTGACAATCCCAATGATACTGTTGACCTAAGATTTGACTCCCCGCTTCACTTGGCACCAGCTGACTATAATGTTCTGGACCCACCAAAGCAAGATGCATCCTTTTGGTTCCCATAAAGTTGGGTTTTTCTTGTACTGACTGCTCCAATACATGTGCTGGAGGGAGGGCGGTGAAAGCTATCTTCAAACAGTTGTGGACCGAGTAGGTGAAGCTTCCTTTTAAGTTTAGTTGCTCATTTTATCTTTCAGACTTGTTTAGATGTTTATATTGACTGCTCCAATCTATGTTTGGGCAGTTTACACAGTTCTGGAAGCATTAGGTGAAGCTTCTTTTTATGTTTAGTTCATTTTATCTGTTGGACTTGTTAGATGTTTATAACCCTTAACAACTTGGGGGTTCTCTTGCTGCAACCTTCTCATCTGAGTGTAAGGTTATCTAGTTGCAGTATTGAGTAGGGCCAATAAAGGACCGGAAAACCCCAAATTTGAGTTTCAGTACTTTTGTTGAAATGTTAGAAACATTTTCCGGTTTCCGGTTTAAATGTTGGCATATAGGTTATGCAATGTATACAGAGACATCTATATATGTGGTGGTTTGATATATTTAGCTACCTATTGCTTGTTTCTTTGGCTATGTTGCAGAGATTGGTTTAAACTGTTCTTGCTATCAACAATACTCATTCTGATTTATTCTATGAATCTTATGCCGTTGCTTTTGCACGTCCTTACGATAAAGCTGAAATAGGAAAATTAGTATTAATCTTCTTGCATAAGAGCGCTCAGGTTGCAGCAAGGGGTTTGTAGCTCAAGTAGTTAAAGAGCATTTACTCTTGAACCCGAGTTCCTACATTATAAATAAATAAATAAAGTGCCCAAGGTACATAGTGTGCTAGTTGAAGTGATATGCATGGTTTCTAATTTTTTGCACTGAAATTGTTTGTCAAATCAGTCACAATGGTCTTCTATGTTAGGCAAGGGAATAAAAAGAAGACCTGGAAGAGACAGAATGGTTGGAAGAATGGAGATTCCAAGACCAAATTCAAATTCAAAGAGCAGTTAGGCTTGGGTCAAAGTTAGGCAAGTTTTTCTCAAGCAATTTGTTATTCTTCAACATAAAATAACAGGGGATGGTAATAATAATTGGAAAAGTTTTTGACTCAGTCTCAAGAATTTCAACAATTCTTTTTACGGTATGTTCATGTCCTATACGCATAGAAAAGTGTTCGTACTCTAACTGTAGAAGAAAAACGTGCTTTAGCAATCAAATTCACCCTTCGTATCCCAAAACCAAAAACAAAACAAAAAACAAAGAGAAGAAAATTTATGTAGAATGATAAGGGCTTATTCTGAATGAATGCTTGAAATTCATCTTCTTCTTAAAAGGTACCACACATCTTCTTCTTATTGGGCCACTTCAAGCGTAGGGAAATTGGACTCTGGATTGTCCTTTAGGTGAAACAATTGACAAGTTAAATAATAAAAAATAAAAAATAATAAATAATAATAAATAAAAAATAAAAAAGAAGCTAAATACAATTGTCTCAAACGAGTAATTATAGTGTGGTACTGAAGTATGGTATTGATGGTATTACGATATCGTATAATAATTTTTTTTAAACACAAATAAAGTTTTGTTAAATATGTAATTACTTCTATTTTTTGAGTCGTTTGGTTGAGGATTTTAGAGAATTTTGAAGACATTTAAGTAGTGATATTCGTTGTTTTCTTTTTATAGAAGCCAATATCATAACGCATAGATTAGCTTGTTGTACATTATTTGTGAATGATGTATCATCTTGGTATCAAGACCCACCTGCTATCATTTATGATGCTTTAGTGGGGGATATTTTATAAATTTTTATATCAATATATTGATTTTTTTTTTTCTAAAAGAAAAGTAATTATTTCTTAATATCCACTTAAAGTTGCAAAAAATTGTTATGTGAATTAAAATAAATAAAATGTAGTAAATATTTTCTAAAAACATAAGTACAAATAAGATCCTCAAGCAATCTTACAACCATACAAGTTAAATTCAAATTTAAGTAACATTTTAGGAAGGAAGTTAAAAAACCAAATATGTTATAAAGATAGAGGGAAAATGTAGAGAGAAATAAGGGGAATGGAAAAACAAGAAGTTGTTCTCTAAACTCGCTATCTTCATCTTTGATAATTACCTATTTATAATCTTACTAGAAAATTAACCCGCTAAATATAGGTTAAAAGCTACTAATTACTATACTAACAACATATGTTACAAAATAATAAAAGGTGGAGATAATGGATATAATGGTGGTTATCCACTTTCCATGGATTTATAACACTCCCCCTTAGATGTCCACCATACAATGACAATGATGTCTCATTAAAAACATTGCTTGGAAAACCCAAGGGGACAAAGCCGAAAAGAAGGGAAAAAGAGTGCAACTTTTTTTGGATGATTGATATGGTGTTCGACAAGCTTATGTTGCCTCGTTAAAACCTTGCTAGGAAAAACCCAGTGGGACAAAAACCTAGTTGAGGGGAAAAAGAGTACAATGCACATATGTCTTGTATGTAGTAGAATTGGGATGCTCCCCCTAATTGATATCTCCTCATGATTTTCATTAACTTCGGGAATATAAGCTTCGGAAAAGCTTTGGTAAAAAGGGTTCACCAAATTATCTTGTGAATGAATTTGTTTGACTCCAATCTCTTGGCTTTTTCTAAAACTATGTCACCCTTCATGAACCCTTCTTTGATTTGAGCAATACAAGCAACATTGTCTTCATACATGATTGTTTATCACATTATTTGACATGCTTTTCACCTTTCAAATGATTGAATTCTTTAGGAACATTAACAACTAATCTAATAGTTAGAATATGTTACAGCAATATCACATTTGAATTCAAAATACTCAGACTATTAGTGTTAACTTTTAATTAAGAATATCCTGGTACCTAATATCCTTCAAGGGGTCGCTTCATGCAATATATCTTAAATATTTCATGAGCCTTGAGGATTTCCATATACCATACAGTCTTAATAAATATGCATTTAATACATGCTATAAATTTCGCGTTAAAATAACAATTGTACTTATAGAAAAGTGGATGCATCTACGATGGGGTGGGAGACTAAAACTATGTATATACCAGGAAACCTTATATCATATTAGTGATCTTATTTCACTTCATAGACATCAATACGTAAACTTCATACTTAACATTTGTAATTCAGTGTTTGAGCCATAGGTTTAATATTCAACGCATCATATTTAGTGATAAATGAAATTGCCTATTTCCATTTTGGCCAATCACTTAACTTGTCAACATTCATGAAACGAGATTTAATATAATCATAGCCCTTGATGATTGTAAAAGCTACTAATAAACCAAATGTATCATCAATTTGTGATCCCACAATTCTCTTGGATATGCATCATTTATAAATATCTCATTGCTTTGGGGTACCAATGCCTCTTAAGGGGCTTCTGTTGTCATTTATGGAACAAACATCTCTTTTAAGATGAATTATTTAGAATATGTGGATCATAACCTCCTATAGAGTGTTATTTTCGATAAGGCTTGAATTTTTCAAATAATCTCCACTTCATGTGAGTTAAATCTTTAGAACCTATAGATCTGCCATGCTTCAGGCATGCAACAGATTAGTTACTGATAGTCACTTATTGTAATTTTAATGGATTGTGATACGAGAATATCAATCCATGTTATCATATATATAACTTATATATGCATTATCTTGATGAGACAAAAATGGACTGATTTAGCACTATTCACGATGTTATTTAGGAATTGTCATATCTCCCCCTTGACAATGGGAAAGTTGTCTCATCAAAGGGACAATCCTTAAAACATACTGTAAAGTGTAGACATAACCAAAACCAACTTAGATTTTCAGTTTGCATTGATAATTCAATGTGTTCATTATGTTTGTGCAATCATAAACAACCAAAAACACATAAACGAGATGTACGGAGGGATTTTTGTTGGTTGGAAACATGCCTCAACTGAACTAATACTGTAATTATATAAAATGGCATGGTCTTCAACTACTTTAATGGTTGTGTAATATAACTCACAAAAGAAAGTAGGCAGTTTCTCCAATAAATGCCTCTGGCTGTCAATATTGGGAGTAATGAAAAAACATTACCATTAACTAACAATCCAACACAAAGATAAAGAAATACTATCTTGATTTAAAAGAACTCAAAACGAGAAATAAATTAAAATATATAATTGAAAAAAAAAAAGCAAATGAGATCTAAATAAAATATCCAAATTAAGTTACAAATATGAAAAGAAAATAAGACATCAAATTAATTGGGGAGGACTCCACCACTAATTATGGAATCATGTGATTTGCCATTAGTATCAACGAAGAAGGCTGAAACATCAAGGTGGGTTATATCCACTAGGTGTCAGTCCATAAGATCAGGTTCAAATCAATGTGTCTCAACAATTTTTTTTCTTCTTTCTTTGCCCATTATCGAGGCTTGGTAAAGATCTACCAAATGTTTTGACGTGCGATAGACGTGTGCCCAATGCCCGTATGCAGCACACCTATGACAAGCTTCCCCAATTACCTTATCAGTTGTATTTTTGGGGCCCTTTGCCTTGTCTTGTTTGTTCCACTTCTAGTTATTATTGTTTATGAAGTAAACATTAATACATCTACCAAAACTTCTGGTTTTGGGATGTTTACAATTGGAATTGAGGAACTTCATGCCTCAATTATTTAGAATCAAAGAATTTTAGATTCTAATTCTATCAAGGAACTTCAAGTCCTGATCTAGTTATATGATGAAGATTGAGGAATTTCAGACTTTGATCTCTTGTATAATACAAACTCATTATAAGATATAATAATTAATTAAAATCATGCTTAAAGAAATAAATAAATAAATAAAACCATAATAAGGTTAGAATTGTATGAAATAATGAAATAACGAGAGTCACGTAACCTAAAAAAGGCCATAAATATTAACGAAGAAAAAAAACATATCATCTTAGAATGATTAAGCACTAGAGCTGAATAAGATGAGAGATAAAAAATAAAGCAAACATGCAACCAAAACAAAAATTTCAAACATGGCATTCATGCCCAAGATTAAGAAACTTTTTATTTTTTTTTATTTTATTTTAAAAAGAGCATGGTGAAGTTTGATGGTGAGTACAAAGAGAACTCTATACCATATAATGATTCTAACTCATACGGAAAATAAAATTAAGATAAATAAATAATATCAAGAACAACAGCGTGTTGATAACGTATTATAAAACTAGTGGAAAAATGTAGAGAAATAAGGGGAAGGGGAAAACGAGATTATTCTCTGAACTTGTTATCTTCATCTTTGATAAGTACATATTTATAGGCTTATAACCATAGAAAATTAACCCACTAAATAGAGGTTAAAGGCTACTAATTACTATATTAATAACACATGTTACAAAATAACAAAAGATGGAGATAAGAGCATTTACAATGGGTTCACTACACCACCTTAGACAAATTTTAGAGAAGAATTGGAAAAATACAACTCCAACCATGCTCTCTATCCACCTCATAAAATAGGGAGACCTCTATGACATCCTAAGTCAAAGGAGAGAGAAATGACTCCTAATGACTCCCTATAATTTAATGCTGCTTTGTTTTATGCATAGTTTAAACTTTTAATTAATGCTAACAATTTTTTATTATATTTTTTATGGAGACGGACCAATCATATTAAATTAAAAAATAACTATAGTATTTATGACTCCCTAAATTAGGGAGTATAATTGGAGTTCAAATTTTATAGAGAGTTCTTAAAATAACTTTGATGTGTTTTTAGCCAAATTTTAATTAAAAAATAAAAGCATAATTATAGATGCTCTAATGGATATAATAGTGGTGAACCACATTCCATGTATTTGTAGAAACATGTCCCGTCATGGCGTTGGCGGCCACATGCTTCATGGAAGACATGTTTGATAGGTACCCGGTAAAAAGATCCCAATATCTTTACAATTACAATGCATATTTGACATCATTACAATCCAAACAAATTAAGCTCCCGGTTGTATTACTTGAGTTTCAAGGACCTTCCACAGGTTGAGAGAGAGAGAGAGAGAGAGAGAGAGAGAGAGAGAGTATAGCACTATTTCCTTGCACACGCAAGAGAGATTAATCAAAACAAACAGTAGAAACCCTATTTCTGTGCACATGCTTGACAGTTGACTCTGTCTTTGTCTCTTCTTCCTCATCACCTACCCCTACAATATATTCCCTCACGTCCCTTTGAAATCTTTTTCTCATATTTTATGCATTAAACAAGTTAAACAACTGTTCACAAGCTGATGTCAATCCATGTAATTCCAATGCCCGTTTCAACTTCTCTCCCTTTTCAATGAAACCACCTTGCCCTTTCACCAATATTATACACATTATTTTCTCTGCGACTGCTTCTCATCATCAGATTCAAAGATTCGATTTCTTTCTATTCTATCCCTCTTGGGTCTCTCTCCCTCTCTCTCTCGCTCTCTCTCTCCCCCCCCTTCTGCCAGTTAAATCTCTTCAGGGTTTTTTTTGTCATCGTCATGGGACAAGAAACAAGAAGACTGGCAGATGAGTATGAGATATCAGAGATTTTAGGCAGAGGAGGATTCTCTGTAGTGAGAAAAGGCATCAGCAGAAAATCAGGCAGCAGTGACAAAAACAATGTGGCAATCAAGACCCTCAAAAGGCCATTTGGACCATCAAACCCTCCGCCCGGCAGATCGGGTGCCGGTGATCATCAGAAAAGCTTTGCTGCTGCTTTCCAAGCCCGGAAGCAGGTGTCCATATCAAACGTCTTGCTCACAAATGAAATCTTGGTCATGAGGAGAATAGTTGAAAATGTCTCACCACACCCAAATGTCATTGACCTCTATGATGTGTATGAGGATGAAAATGGGGTCCACCTTGTGTTGGAGCTTTGCTCTGGGGGTGAACTGTTTGATAGGATTGTGAAGCAAGAAAGGTATTCTGAGGCTGGAGCTGCAGCTGTGGTAAGGCAGATTGCTCAAGGCTTAGCAGCTCTTCACAAGTCCAATATTGTTCACAGGGACTTGAAGCCAGAGAACTGCCTGTTCTTGAATAATACTGATGATTCTTCTTTGAAGATTATGGATTTTGGGCTCAGTTCTGTGGAGGAGTTTACTGATCCTGTTGTTGGGTTGTTTGGTTCCATAGATTATGTCTCACCAGAGGCTCTTTCTCAGGGACAAGTCACTTCTAAGAGTGATATGTGGGCTCTGGGTGTAATCTTGTATATCCTTCTCTCTGGGTACGTTCTGTTTCATATGTTTTCCTCTTTATTTTCTCGGGAACCAAACAGATGGCATTAGTAATTATTTTTTGTTTTTTTTTTTTTTTTTTTTTTTTTGTTTTTTGCCAAAGTTAGGAAGGGGGGAGGGGGTTTTTTTTACACACTCCGAGATATAATTGAGGTTTGAATATGAGATCACTAGTCTGCAAATCAAGGCCTTTTTCACTGTGCTGGACTCTCGTTCGCTAATATTAGTAGTGTTTAAGGCATAGTTTAACTTTAATTGGATTCTAGAGTTACTTTACTCTGCTCAACGTTTTTTAAGCAATCCCATTTAAGAACAAAGAAATTTCAAGTCAATCTCTAAATGTCATGAAATATTCAATTTCTACAAATTTCTAGAGCACTCTTAATGTATATATTCTTGTACAATGCCTTAGGTACCCACCTTTTATTGCTCAGTCGAATCGGCAAAAGCAACAGATGATAATGGCTGTAAGTCATTTCTATTCACATTATACTAGAACATAGAAATTAACATGATATATATATTTTTAAACAATTCTGTTAAAGTTACAAGAGAAAATACTTTTTCCTGCAGGGAGAATTCAGTTTCTATGAGAAAACTTGGAAGGGCATTTCTTTGTCAGCAAAGCAATTAATTTCGGATCTCCTTAAAGTTGACCCTGACAAGAGACCTAGTGCTCAAGAGGTAGGGTAGCAATTAATTTCCCCTTTTTTTTTCTTCTGGGTTAAGTCATAAGATATCTGATCTGAGTTAAATAGCAACTTGGCATGGGTTGTAAACTTAAGCTAAATGCACTAGAGTATTACAGTTCTTGGTAGCTCAAAATGAACTCATCTAGGTTTGTAACTTAAACTAATTTAGTTCTTGTGTTAAACAGCTTCTGGACCATCCATGGGTTGTAGGTCTTTCAGCCAGAGAAGATCAAATGGATGCTGAGATTGTGTCACGATTGCAGAGTTTTAATGCTCGGCGAAAACTCCGTGCTGCAGCAATAGCTAGTGTGTGGACCAGCTCGATTTTCTTAAGGACGAAGAAGCTAAAATCACTACTAGGTTCCCACGACCTTAAACCGGATGAAATCCAGAAACTGAGTTTACATTTCAAGAAAATGTGAGTAGTCAAAACAGATTTTTGCACCTTACTAAGTCTGTGAATACGGTGATAAAATGCAGGCCAGGCATAGACAATTGTAGCACATCAGCTACATAACAAGTTCAGTTTAATGATTAACTAATCATGCTTATGAAGATAACCAAAGGGAATTCTCTTTAAGTGGATCACTTAACCAATCCTAAGTTCTCTGGTGAGCCAGTGCATATATATTCTGATCAAGAATACCAATTTGGCAAAGTGCAGATGCGTAAAAGGTGACAATGCTACTCTATCTGAATTTGAGGAGGTGCTGAAAGCAATGAACATGTCGTCATTAGTCCCTTTGGCACCCCGGATCTTTGACCTATTCGACAACAATCGTGATGGAACAGTTGACATGCGAGAGATCCTCTGTGGGTTCTCTAGTCTCAAGAATTCACAAGGAGATGATGCACTCCGCCTGTGCTTCCAGGTGTGTTTTCATCTAGTACAAGTACATGAACAAAAACTCACTCTAACCGAACTAATTTTGACTCATAATGAAGCTTCCTGAGGAAATTAAACCTTCCTGGCCAAATTAAAGAACCTAGGGAGTGTTTCGGTTAAATCTTTCTACTAGTTTCATCGTCATAAAGTTTGTGTAATCCAAATTTTCTTCTCTCTTGCTTGAACCCTATGCTAATTGTCTCACTCTTTTGATTTTGCAAGCAGATGTACGATACGGATCGGTCTGGATGCATCAGTAAAGAAGAAGTGGCATCTATGCTCAGGGTAATGCCTCTTAATTCATCTCACTTGGTATAGCTTGCTTGCTTGATTAGTTTCAAATAAGATCATGACCAAATAAAATTACATTGAGCAGGCTTTACCAGATGACTGCCTTCCAGCTGATATCACTGAACCTGGGAAATTGGATGAAATATTTGATCGCATGGATGCAAACAGTGATGGACAAGTTACCTTTGATGAGTTCAAGGCTGCCATGCAGAGAGACAGCTCTCTCCAAGATGTAGTCCTCTCCTCTCTTCGACCATTATAGCGTCTCCCATCATCCACAACGGCGATCAACTTTTTCACTAAATTCTGGAAGTTAATTTCTTTCTTTCTTTGGACATATATGCTATAGGCAATAGAAGACCAATGACCAAAGTGCTGAAAATAAATGCTAACTTCTGCCATGGAAATTAGGAGCTTTGTCACTTTTACTTCCAGACTAAACAAAATCGAAATCCAAGGTAGTACTTTTCTTTCAGTAGCAGCAATGAGAAAACCCAATCCCTAGTACTTTTTTATAAAAAAATTTATTTATTTTATAAATTTTTTTTATGTCTGAGAAGTTTTTTATATTTGCAAAAAAGGATGATTTTATTTGAAACATAAAAGATAACCAATCCACCACATGCAGCCAAGGCACAAATTTTAAATCTTCTGTTAGCATTATTTGCCAGCCATTCAAGATATATGTCTTAATGTTACCACCAAAGAATATAGAGCTGTCATTGGCACTCTAAAATAGTCATCACTCGCTCCACCCTAATGAAAAAGTAAGGGAGAGAAGAGCGAAAGATGACTATTTTGGAGTGCTAATAACAATATCTATGATCCACGACTATTTTGGACCTTACACTATATCTGAACTATTTATGATTTACCTGTAAAAATCTAACCTGTGTTTTCCATACAAAGAAAGTACAAAAGTGGCATCTGCATACCAAGCAAAGAAAGGAAGATCGTGAGATTTCCTTTTAAATATTTACTCTCATACCATTGAAGAGAACCTTGGCAAGACGCACAAAAGAAATTTTTTGAAATCAAGGTTCTGCTCTCTTCCTGCGGCCTGACCTTTATGACAGTAATAACTAAAAAGCTATCATTGATTCATCAAGTTCTTGTCCCAAGTTAATAAAAACAGATTTTGGAAATTCCCTTTTCCCTCTTTTCTTTTCCTGGAAACTTAAAAATTAAGTTTCAGTCACCAAGATCGAGTTGCTGAGTACAGATTCGTAATCTGTACACTATAAGATTTATTAACGTATTAAGTATACAAACTGTAAGTTATAGCACAAAATGAAGACAGAATGTCTTTAATTGTGATCCTAAATATTCAAAAAATTTGATTTGATACAAGATATACAGAAAAAGGATAATAATAGTTCCTGCTAAAGAGTAACTCCATTCATGCTCACGACCTAGTCACCTAGCTAAACCATATTCAAGACATTGATATATGATCATTTTGGGGATGGTTCATCTCTAGACTATACTGATTGACACAACTCACTACCCACCCCTGTAAACATTTTTTATTTTATTTATTTTTATAATTTTATGTTCAAGGCAGGGTTCTCCGTTTCGTAGCACACTGCTGCATCAGTCAAATGATTCAATGAAACTCAACAGTTCTGTTAATTCATATTAACGTCCGTTATATCCAGCAATTCATACTAGAATATAAGGAAAGAAACTAATGCCACCAACTAGCAGAGTAATCTGTACAGTCATTACAACCATTGTGATATTCTATACTACATGTCATCATTTGTGTCCACACCTCTCCCATCATCACTACCCCTATCATCTGTACTGTCATTACAGTCATCCATATTCTCTACTTTATGATTCAAAAATTTCCACTCACCAGGGACTGTCACATCCATCCAGCTTAGGCCATCGCTGCCAATAGCTCCCAGATCTTCCACCCAATCTCCCATGTTGGCATCGATAGCTTCTAAGCATATAGGATCGAGTGTACCTCTCGTATAAATGGCTTTACTTGCTTCAGAACGCCTGCTTCCAATAAACAAAAAATCAAGATAGAACAAATAAATAAAAAGGAAAAGAGTTTAGGCTGATGAAGAATGGGAACAGTTAAATGCTCACAAACGTTACCAATTAGCCAGTGGAATTTCAAAATTCTTCCTTATTATCCAAAGAAAAATAATAATTTATTTTGCTAACACGTATAAATTTGTAAACGTGTAATACTAAGTCTAAGGAATATTTCACAAAATTGTTGAACTGGGTCAGCCAAATTGACTTAATCTGGGTTAATGGGAACTAGGGAAGAATTTGAATGCATTAAATCACTTATTAGTAAATAAAATATATAAAATGCACTTGTTTTTTGTTAATTAAAAGAAAAAAGATGCTACTTAGCTACAGTCAAGACACTAAACAATTCCTCTGTAAAAGAAAAAAAAACATGACTAGGGCGACTAGATTACACTATGCAAAACAGTTCACAAAAGAGTAGGCATTCTGATTCCTGAACTAGCAAGTCAACAGCTTCTAGAAATTATATTTAATATTTATTCAACGAGGACGTAAGAAAACTCTGTTATGATTCGCAAACAAGAACACAAGTGTTTTGTGTCAATACCGTCAACTTCCAAAAGTCTAGACAGAAGAAAAGTCAATAAATACATATTTGCTTTAATTTAAAAATCCATCTAGCTATATTAGGATAATAATCATGAAACTAGCATCTAGCTATATAATTAATTATGAAACTAATAATCATGTGTAAATTTCTTTACAAAAATGCACAACACCTTTCAAATTCTGCACTCCTTAGTCTTAAATTTGTACTGTTGGTGTCCAACATAGCAAAGTTTTATAGAATAACGGCCTTACAAGTCATATATTGTCAGCAACATAAAGTAACATGCTACTTTTCATATACTGCTGCATAGAACTGAACAATGCCTTAACATAGTCTTATCATGGATTGGGAAGGAACCAAAACTCACACAGCCCATCAAGGGCTCAATGGACAGATGCACTTTTTTCACCAAATGGAGGAAACTCTTTTTTTTTCTTTTAATAACAGAATGTATTCCTTGACCAAAATACATATGGAAACTTTGAGAGAGAGCACAGGGAAAGCTTCTTGGGCATTGGCTTGCCAATTAAAAATGAGGGACAATGCAGGAATGGGCATCCCCTCTTCCATGACCTTTTATGAAGGTGACTACATCAATGACCGAGACCGAGAGGCCCACAACTCTCATTTTCCTTAACTGCATTCATTACAGTCTCCGTCCGGAAGTGCCTCACTCTCACATTTATCTATCAAGTCTCTGATATGTTCAATCTAGTATCCTATACAGTACCACCTTCTCTAAGGAATAACTACTTCCTTCAAGCTCATAACAACGAGTCCCACAGTCCCACTCAACACCTAGCAAAGATTCTAAGACCCAAAATAATTATCTTAAGCTAGATTACCCTTAGGAACATATGGCCTTGATAGAGGAAACTAAAGCAAATTCGAGTTTATCCCAACTAAACATATACATTTCCATTTTCAATTAATTTTGGAATTCTTGTACTCACAAAATAGCATGTCTCCCCCAAAGTCATATTTTCATGCTTAAATATGAAAACATATCCTTATCAAATGAAACAGAAGACTAGCTAGTCCCAGGATACATTTTGACTGCATTCATTATCCTTCCTCAAGAGCTTCAGAGTGCATAACAAGGACTTTTAATTGAAAGGAAGAAAAGCAGATAACTGACACGATAACTCTGGCAGTTATTCTAGGATAAATTAACATAGGTCCATTTTCATGGGAATTTATCCCTGAACTACAGGAGTATACAGCAAGGACCTACGTACCACTAAGATTTACTCTATCTTGTGCAACCTTGGAATAAAAAATACATAAACATATTTAAAGAAATGCTAGTAGAGATAAGAGAGTAACTTCCGGCTATGACATATCTTATGAATATCAGAAGAAGTTACTGAGGATGGAAAAACTTACCTATGTTGAAGGTGCAAGTTATAATGAACAAATGCAAGGTGGTTGAACCTTTGCTGCTCCAATCGGTTCTTTTTCTTCGAACACATACGTTCAAACATGGTCCTACTCCGCTTATATCGAATAATGCTGCAAGTTTGACTTAGTATCCTGACAGCTAATCGTTGGAGATCGGGATAATCTGCTGCATACAGTGACCACCAAGTAGCTGCAGAACAACACAAATAGTTTAATGCTAACACTGTACCCAAAAAGAATCTGGAAACTTGGAAACAATGAAAATCATTTTGACCTGGGGCCAATGATTCTCGACAACGTAATGCAACAGGTCGACCAAAATCCCCTACAGCTTCCTCGTAGAAATTTATATTGCTCGTAATCACAACTTGAGCTGTTAAGTTAGGCTCTAAGGTTTCAATACAGTCCAGCAATCCCTTCTGGATGACTTTGTTAGTAGAAAAGCTAGGGTTATAAAATATAGAAGGGTTGAGATAGTATGCAGCTGCATGAAGGGGACTATGAAGCTCCTCTTGCCAAATGTGATCAATAATCTCCAGATATGGCACGTAGTCAGATTCCTTATTGTCAAAGGACACAATTATACTTTTCTTTGCTTTTTCCATTGCATCATACACATAGCCAACAGATGGCTTCTCCTCGCAGTCCATAAGCTGAAAAACAGAAAGTAGGGGCTTAGTCACCTTCAGAATTTGATCACACAGTGACCAGAAAAGTTGGTCCGCAATAATCTCTGCCAGCTCAAGTCCAGCCTTTTGCTTAGAGAAGGTTGAATGCATCCAAGCAGCACTGGCAAATATCTTTTCGAGCCGGTGCTTCAAAGCTACCATATTCTGTAGTGTCAGGAAGGTGGAAGCAAATCTTGTGCTTGCGAGCTGGACTATGTCTCTTCCACCTGTTTTCCTCCTCACTAGATTAAGCATCCAAGCACTGTTGTATATAAATTGAGTAATCTTTTGGCCTTTGCCAAGACCTCTTTAACTTCATTCATTTTTCCAATTTCCTCAAGCATTAATTCAATACCATATCCACCACACGTACTACAGAAAAAGGTTTTATATTTCTCCATTAGGAGTTTTCTTGCAGCTTTACAACTGGCTGAAGCATCTGTGACAAAATTGACAATCCTCTTATGCCCAACTTCTTGAACAACGCAGTCAAATAAATTAAGAAGTGCATCTGGACATTCTGAAATGTCTGATGCATCTGCAGATTTGAGGAACAGAGTGCCTTTAGGACAGTATACAAAGAAGTTTATAACTGAATTACCAGTTTTATCCACCCACCTATCAACCATGACAGAACACCCAGTCACATCCCAAGATTTTCTGAGTTCCTCTTCATATTCTTCTGCGTCCTGAACGCTTTTGTTCAGCAGTTTTCCCCTCAAAGCATGATAAGAAGGCATCTTATAGCCAGGTCCTGCAGCAGCAATGGCATCAGCCATCTGTTGATAAAAATGCGAATTCGCAGCAGTGAATGGTATACCGGATTCATACATAAATCTTGCAACAGCCAAATCAGCTTGGGCTATGATCTCTTGAGAAGCAAAACTCTGATGTAAAGGTTGAGCAACAATAGTTGTTGCAGCAGGGAAAGAATGTTTTTTGTGCTTCTTCATTTGATTTGAAATGCATTCCATAGCCTCTTTTTCCCTTCTCCTTCGCTTGCCTCGTGTGCAAACGGTTTTTTGAGTTCTCATTCCATCTTCATTTTCTCCTTCTTCCCTATACTGCAAGTAGGGTGCGGAATCCTTGCTATTACTTAATCCTTTCTGCTTTTTAAGCTTCTCCAGTACTTTAAAACCAAGATGTTGTTGAATCTGCACTTTAACTTCTTCAGGTACTTCCTCACACGGAGCTACATTCCCCCTTTCCCCAGCCAAATGCTGTTTTAGTCTGGAAATTCCGCCCCCAAGCATTACTTTATGGCAGTATTTGCACTTAATCTTCTGGCGACCTCCATTCACCATAATACCATGAGCCCAGCCAGGATCGGATGCACGGGGAGGCACTGAAACCTGATGATTAGCACATGGTAGAAAAAAATGTAAAAATTAGAACACAAAGACACATGTATACAATTAAAGAAGAATTGATTGTTGTCCTTAGCCATACTATGAGATAATAAGATGAAAATCCTAGGTCTCTAAGCTCTGATATTAAATGGGAATGCAAAACATAGCTCACTTGAGTATCCTTGTACTGCATATCTGGGAAAGTGTCAGAAAGCTCCTGAGCAGTGTTTTCAAAGGCATGCCTTCCCGCGCGTCGGCGAGCGCGTCGGAGAGAGGCGGCAGGAAGTCGCCCGAGGCGGTCGGCTGTTTCGCGAGTTTCACGTTTAGAGCGGGGAAGGCGTGAGGAGACGTTGCAAGGCGTGGCCAGGAGGCGCGCCAGATCTGGACACTTCTGAACCGGAAAAAATTTTGCGAGTCTGCAAATTGGCTGCGACTCTGCGAGGAAGACGACTCGTTTTGTTTTTTTTTTTTTTTTTTTTTTTTGGGTTTTTGGGTGGGTGTTTAATGAAACGACGTCATTTCGATTGTAGTGTTTTAAAAAAAAACTTTAAATGAAACGACGTCGTTTCACTTGGAGCGTTTTAGAAAAGAAAAAAAATGCAAGTTCCTGTTTTTTTTTACTTACCTTTATTGTAATAAACTTAAGGCAAGAAGAATTAATATCTTTCTTGCCTTTTCCAACTCCAGAGGGCTGTAGCTTTATTCTATTTACCTTTTTTTTTCTTTTCTAAATTAATATATTAACACATGGGCTTATATATATATATATATATATATATATATTGTGTAGTACAACCCTAATTTCTACTCTTATCATATAATCTTCATCAATTTCAAGAATTCTCTTCATCTTTAGATTGCAAGTAAGCCATTTTATTTTTCTCTCTAATTCTTCGCAACTGTAATTTGAAGTTTCGTATAATTTTTTTTCAATATATTAGTTATCTTATTCGTTTATGTGATATAGTAGAAATTTGACGTACATACATCATACTTGTATCTTAGAAATATTAATGGTGTTGTTTTATAGTTATGAATCGAAAAGATCCTGTGTGGAAGTATGCAAAAGAAATAGAAGGGAAAAATACTTAAGATGCACATTTTGTGATCAAAGATGCAGTGGAGGAATTTCTAGACTTAAGCATCATTTGGGTCAAACTCATCATAGTATACAACCATGTAAGAAAGTTCATGAGCATGTAAAAAAAGAGTGTGTCGCAACTTTGAAAAATTTTCAACTTGAAAAAAGAAAGAAAAATGAAATGCTTAGAGAGATTGGGGATGGTCCATCATGAGAAAGGGATCAGAGTATGGAAACTTCATTGGATGAAGAATATGGAATCCCCGGTACTAGGAGTGTTGCAGTTGATGAGACTCTTAGAGCACAACCTAAATCAAAAGGACCAATGGATAGATTTGTCACTTTAGAAGTTTGGCAAAGTACATTAAATTCAGCATACAAACAAGAAGAAAGAAAGGAAAGTTGTTGAAAGATTGGTCATTTTTTCTTCTCTAGAGCACTCCCATTTAATATTGTAAATGATCCATTTTGGCTACCTATGGTGGAAGAGATTGCCGCATATGGTGTAGGATTTAAGCCTCCATCAACGCATGAGCTGAGGACTTGGATCCTTAAGGAAGAAGTTGGATGCATCACGTAGAGAAATATTGTTAGATGACGACACTGAAGCTACACTCGCCTACATGAAAGCGAAAGCGTCAGTGGATCTTGAATTTTTTTGTAAGTTCAGTGTAAATGAGGAGAATAGGCTTGCTAACTTGTTTTGGAGGGGCTCTACTTCACTTTTGGATTATGTTGGCTCTAAAGACGTCCTCATATTCGACAACATATACAAAATCAATATGTATGACAAGCCTCTAGTGTTATTTGTTGGTTCAAACAACCACCGAACGAGTGTTGGTTGTGCCTTATTGCTTGACGAGACCTTTGCAACATAAAAGTAGTTATTGGAGACATTCATATCCTCCATGAAAGGCAAGAAGCCTACATCAATACTGACGGATGGGGATGAGGTGACACGCACAAAGCAATGGAGTATGTGTTGCTCATGTGCAATCATAGGTTGTGCTCATTGCACATGGCAAGGAATGCACAGAATAACTTAAAGGATGAAGAATTGGTATGATCATTTCAAGCATATCTTTGGGAACCAATTACAGTCAATGAGTTTGAAAAGAAATTGGAGTTTTTGAAGGACAGAGTTACTACACATAAACAAAATGAATGGTTGCAAATGATGTATGCAAAACGAGATGCGTGAGCGAAATCACTCCTTAGACCCAAGTTTTTCGATGGTATGTGCACTACTCAATGCGTGGAGTGTATGAACAAGTTTGTGAAAGATTACTTGAGGAAATGCGTTAAGATGTTTGAATGCATTCCAGCAATTGATAGGGCCATAGTACGAATGAGGACTACCTCAGGGAAGGATGATTTTGACCAAAACAGTCAAAGAAAGTGCTTACAACAACACTGAAAAGTCTTGAGCTACATACTTATCAAATTTACACTCATAGGTGCTTTTTATTGGTATGTAACGAGATCAATGTTTCGTCAGCACTCATTCATGAAAAAATAATTCATAATTTCGGAGGACGGTTGTATATTTTAGCGAAATACAATGAACCACAAAATAATTGGAGTTGTGTGTACCTTGGGGAGAAAGATGTTCAAATAGAGTACAACTGTCAGAAATATGAAAGCAAAGGCATCTCATGTTGCCATTTGTTTTATGTGATGAAGTGGAAGCATGTCATGGAAATTCCCTCGTCACTCATAATGAAGTGATGGACAAAAATACCCGAATGGACGTTGGATATGCATTTATGTCAGAAAGTGGTAGAAAGGAGGTTGTACAAATCGTGAGATACAGAAGTTTAAGTTGTATTGCCAATAAAGTGTATTTGTATGCATCAAAGAGCACAGATGGGTATAGTATTATTCATAATTTTTTTTTATTAAAATAAATTAATGTTCAAAAGGTTTACGCTTCACTGCTTCAAGGCTTACGCCTCTCATAATGCGACTAAAACACCTCTCATCAACGCCTCGCCTTTCAAAACATTGCTCCTAAGTATCCAAAATTAGCTGTTAATACTGTGAATTAGAGTCACCACTATACAAAATCATGATTAACAATGAAACAACAATTACATTACACCAAAATTAGGTTTAAGAACTTAATCTTATATTAAAGCCTATATATTATAAATCTCTATTCAAAATATGGAGTTTATGAATTAAATTTTAAAAATGTCACAAGCCATACTGCTATTTTTGAGCTATGCTTTGACCAAAGCAATATGGCTCAGGGCAAAACCATGTTCGTAATTATCAAAGCCTCAGTGTTTTACCAATGTTATCACTCTTGGATTTATCCATTAGCCTCTAATACCCATAGACATCGAAACTTGTTTAGATTACAATTACCTAAGAAAATCTTTTAAGAACAAAAATTCATTCCATTAACTTTAGGTACACAAGTCATCCAGAAAATAATGTGCCAATCAAATAAACAAAAAAAATTTAGAATCATACTTAAGAAAGAAATATGACCTCAATGTTGAGCTCCTAGACCTTTTTGTTTCTTCCGTCAAGATAAATAGCATATTTTTTCCTTAATTTCAGCTCAAATCACATCATATTGATGAAATGTTTCAATATGTTTCAACCACAGTTGTTTATAAATGAATTCAAATTAGTTGGATAGTATATATCATTATAAATATACACATCGCAAATGACATCACATGTTGGAAGGAACAAAACATTAATTCCATTGCTTCTCACTGATTTGACTGCAATTATAATATTGCTTATTTTCAAAGAACTTATACATTTTGTAACTTACATAGACTTCCAAACATATACTGAAGTTCATGTAGTTGCTATGAAATCATATGTTATTCTATGTGCTTTGCAAAGAAAAAGACTATTCTTAGATGGAAGCATAAAATGCAGAATTGTAGTAATTAAGTCTCGACTTAAGATATGTACCAACTTTGTCAGAGAAATAGAAAGAAAAAAAAATACTTCTCTTTGTTTGCAAAGATCGAGCAAAACACATAACAAAATGTTCCAACATAGACAAATCAAAGTACCACCACCCACCCAACATCCATCCAAGCAATTGAACTTACCATTACATAGCACACCTCCTTTTTGTGGATGACAACGACATGAGTTAACTGACACTAAATCAAGTGATAATAAATGAAAATGCAGTTAGATGAGCATCCAAAACTATCAAGTAGCAAAGGCACTACAAGAGATAACAGATTAGACAAGCAACTTTCACAGCTAAATGAAATATTTCAAGATTGAAGAGATACCATTATAACTAGATGCATCTGTCATCTTCTTGGGTTGCAGGCAATCCAAAATACTATAATTCTTCATATATATATATATATATATTTATTTATTTCACTATGTTGCATACTAAACCAACATTAAATTGCATTGAAGTCCCATGTATTTTCCTTTTATAAATTAAAAAAAAAAAAGGACGGCATAAAAGTAAAAATAAAAATCAAGTAAATAAAAATCATAGCTGAATGAGAAATTGAGGTCATTTCAGTGACAACAGAAGAATTAGTCCGAAACTCAAAATAGAAACAAACAGGTTTTTTTTTCTTCATACGTAAAGCAACTCAACAATAAATGGAATGATGTGGTGCATAGGTTTACTCAGAAAGTTCTTTATTTTCCTACATTTTCTCATCAACCAAACAAGTAATATAAATTAACAGCGACATTGGTTTCACATATTGGATAATTTTTATGGCATTCTAATCAATTAATCTCATATGTACTTGAAAATTGGTACAAAGCTCTTACTTGAAATTTTTCCTGACGCCAAGATTTTACGACACCGAAATATTTGAGTGGCCTTCCAAAAAACTAGATCCAATACCCGAAATGATAATACTAGAAGTGAAGACGAGTGAAACGAGTAAAAATGGCTCGCATAGAACAGTTTCGGGATCTGAAGACTGAAACCTGTATGGGTTCATTGCGATACGAGCCAAATTAGGAGGATCGAAGACATAAAAAGTGTACCGGCAATCGTGTTTTGGGTTTCGATAATGGATATTGGCGTATTATCTTTGATAATTGTCACCACCACAGCACAATCCAATTGTTGTACTGTTTCGGTTCGTATCCCACATGCGAGAATTCACAGTGGGACAATATAGTTATCATGTGGTTAATTTGGGATTTTACATGTCTCCTTCCTGTAAGGAGATACTTATCCTTCCTGCGAATGTAAGGAGATACTTATTCTTCCTATGAATCACAATTTGACATATATGCAAAAATAATTCATCAAAAACACAAAAAGAAAAACTTATGGACACATGTCACACTTTTATTGGTATGAATGTAAGAGGTCATACTTACGTAGTAAGGAATGAAGTATTTTCTGTTAACTTAAGGCCGTTAAATGAATTCAGGTACCATGTGTGTTTGAGCAAATTTCTCACGGGAGAATATTCGAATGTGATTCTTCCACTCTTTGAGCTTCCTTCTTTTCCTTCTTCCTTGGTTCCCGTAAAATAAATTTAAGTCAACGGACCACACTTAAGGGTGTTGGCCAAAGGCCCTCCGATGCTTAAGTTAGTTACATGATTTTGAGAAAAATGTGAAAATAACAGAAAGGTCGAAGTTTTCTCTCATGGGGATAGCTGAGCGGCCTCAGCTATGTGTGGTGGCCAAAGCCGTGAGAGAGAGAGAGAGAGAGAGAGAGAGAGAGAGAGAGAGAGAGAGAGAGAGAGGGCAAGAAAGAGAGAGTGAGAGTGATTTCTCTAGGGTTTCAGAATTACCTCTTGTGTGATGTGTAGCCATGTATTAATAGTCTCCTTGCTTGGCTAAGGCTTGAAGAATAATCCTTATTTAATTAGAATTATTCTTACCCAAAAAGATGATAGGAATTAATCAAAGTGATTTGTTGGAAATTGGTTCCTTAAT